CCAACTGTTGCTGCCGTCACGTCACTTCGTGAAGAATTTGTGAACCCAAAACACTGCCATGTAACAGTAAATAATTGTAAACTTCAGGATGCTTTGTAAAAAATCAAAATATTCCATTTAAAATACTAGCATTGGTACAGCTAGACTGGAACAAACTCAGTACACCAAAGATGAAATTGACTCGACCTTTCCTGACAGATATCCAAATAATGTGAAAGATTTTGCAAAAAATAGGAAAGAGGGGGCTTGTTGTGAACATCTTACGTAATTGTCACATCGCGGTGCCACTCCACAGATGGTCCAGGAGAGGTGGGCAGTAACAACAGCACATCTATTTTCCACACAGGAGCAGTGAGAGCTCTTATCCCTCTCAGCAAGCCCACACTCGTGACAGGAGGCTGAGGTACTTGACGAGCAGTAGCAAGGCCACCATACTGTACCATCATTAAAAATGCATGCTGATGGCTACGAGAACATCAGTAGGAAGCTCCCATAACGCATGCGGCCTGAAAGTCAGATAGTTGTCCGTGGATATGGCGGTCGCGGGCGCGATATTGATTCTGATGAGCGAGAGGAGCGCGCTGAGAGACAGGCTGGTCCCCGGAGAGAGATTCAAGATTGATGCTTCCTTATCACGCCGCCTCGCTTGAAAAAAGGACACAGACTGGAGGCGATGATGGACGAGAGAAAAAGAGCTACAGATTATTGGCATGAGGAGAAAATATGAACTCATTAATTTTATCCACGTGTCAGGGTTAAGGCAGCTGTAATTTGCATATTTGAAATGTTGGTGTCGTTCACGTCTGCATCATGATAAAACAGTTTGCTGACTCAGAAAATCTTTCTATACAGTTCTGTTCATTAATAGATAGAACCAGGAAACGACTCACATGTGGGGCTTGTCTCAAAGTGAGAAGACATACAGACAGATAATAATAATCCAAAACAAGCTGTGTTGTAAATGGAAATGTTGCTGATAGCTTTTTCTTCAAAAATCAGCTCCGAAGGCCACCGTGTCCTGCCGACACGAAACAACAGTGGGCACATTTGGCTCTTGGCGGCTCCTCAATGAGTTTACATCCACGAGGTGGCCAGAAATTCAACACGGGTTTAATGACACTGAGCCTCATTACTTTCACAATGGGCCGTTCTGTCCCTGTACAATCAAAGCGAGAGCGTGGTTCTAGTCGCCAGCGGTAGGTTGAATAAATTCCTCATGTACGACAGACTCGGCGAAGGCTCTCCTTTATTGGATTGGATTGGATACAACTTTATTGTCAAATGTGCTGTGTGTGTAACATACAGCACAGATGAAATTTCTTCCCTCTCAACATAAAACAAGAGTCCAAAAAAAATCAGTTATTGTCATGATCTTTTAGTAGATCCTTTCTTGGCACGTCTCCATTGTGGTGCAGTTGAGGGGTGCGAGGATCACATCTCTCCATTTTACACTCAATTTGGTCCTGCCTGCCCTATTCGCTTCATCAAACACTCCTTGGCAAAAGGAGCAGACGGGGCTTCTTGAGCTTTTTACAGCAAGCACACCTCCCAAATTCCTCGCTCTCCAAACACCACCGTCAGGACATACGATAGCGTGGTAGGCATCAGTGTTCATTGAAAATGAGGAAGAGGTGTCATCTTTTAAAAGCGGATTTCATATTATTCTGAGCAGGTGTAAAAGTTGGTACTTGAATGTGAAAATAAGAAAATGTACTTCAATAACTCGGAAATACAATACCCTGCTAAGAAACAATCCAGATGTTGACAGGTTTGGTGTTAGCGATAGGGTTTAGTCCAAAATTTGTAATGTAACTAAAATCAACTGATTCTTGTTTTAGCAATTGCAATTAAAACAATTTGCAGCTTGACGACCTTTGCACTCTGCTGTATATTAAGAAAGGTGTCATAATCTAAAAAAAAAAAAGCAACGTATAAGCCACAACCCCGGCTAACAACACACGATAGACTTTCATTTTCTAAACTCATTTCAGTGTTTAAAAAGTAGTTTTTTAAATTTGCGATTGAAAGATCCTGCCTCATCATGTTGATGAACAAGAACAACACGCACACGCACAAGATCATCTTTGATCGATTAGTTATGTCTGCTAAAGACGGAAGAGGAGCTGTCGGCGCGATACTTCGTTTTCGCGGAAGCTACTGAAGAAAAACCGTCTGTGCCTGAGTGGTCATCGGTATCCCCTTCTTCAGGTATGAACATGAGTGTTTTAGTGTATAAGTACTAAGAAATGTGTTAGTAAAACGTTTGTTTTGCCTTGGACGCTTTTATTTCATGTTTATTGCCATTTGACTCGCCGGTCGAATTTCTGGGTGGGCACGAGTAGTTGATCGCTTCCTGTGCATTGGAAGTGTATTTCAATATAGGACATTATTTTTTATTTTATAAGTTATTCCTGTAAGCATAGCCCTTGTTAACAGAAAACATAATTGTTTTTGTACTGTTGTTGAAATATTCGTGTCAGAGTATATGTTGTACTTCTTGTAACTATAGAAGATAAAATACCCTCGCTTGAGCTGCTGGAGAAGAAGCAACCGTGTCCCTGAGTGGTCATTGATATCTCACTTATCCAGGCTGTCACGTTAATAGCTTTGCACGTGCATCGTGCGGTCTCTGACCAACTGACATGATAATATTCTCATTGTGACCAATTGAACTCTCTCGCGCGGCCTCTTGCCCCTAAGGAATGCGAGGTAGAACGTAAATAACATTCCATGACAACAATCTTGAATTATGTGGCATTTACCCCTGCCTGCATGGCTATCTGAGAATATTCATTTCATCAGATGGTGACGGACAAAATATTTCTTACTGAGGCTGTTGTTCTTAATGCTACATTTTGCATAGAATTCAGCAGGGTCTCTTTGACGCTCCATGGCAGGAAAAATCATGTGCGTTCTACTATATTTGGAATAAAGTTGCATCACCTTGCATGTGAAGCTCTAACCAAAGGGCATAATAATGAAATGGCATGATTACTAATGCAAATAATTTGCATGTTTGAACTCCCCTGACCCTGCAAATTGATGTGAGCGGGCAGAGATGCGAAAAGCAACATAGCCTCATGGAATTCTCCTCTGAATTTGTTTAAGCCTGAGTGATAATCCAAGCTTGTTTGTGCTTTCTCTACAAATACACAAGAGGGAAATATTTCCTTTTCAGCTCCCAAGATAGGACAAAACAAGACAATGATCCTCCAGCTTTGGGCACAGGGATCATTAATTCGATATTTTCCAAGCGCTGTGACGTATATTTCTTCCAAGTTTATTTGGCTGGAGGAATCTTTCATGTGCTTTTGTTTTGAGCATTTTTTTCTTCTTAAACCTTAGATTCTCATCATTCCCATGTGTTTCATCCAGATCATCTTCGAATGAGCTTCCAAAATTGTCTTACTGATTATGTCAAGGTTCACGCAGCATGTCGCTCACCGCTGGCCACTTTGTCCCAATGCAATGGACTCTCAGTAGCTTTACCTTGGTCATCCATTTTCAGACAAACTCGATTTAACCGCATTCATGTCTTGTCCTTATCAATATTCCTCAAGGTAACGTCTTCATCGAAGGACATCAGCAATGAAGTCAGCTATGTGGACTCTCTACCGCCAAGTGGAGGATTGTTGTTTATTTTCCCTTTGGTTTTCTTCCTGTGAGAGGTGTGGATAGCGCAGGGACTCTGCTCCGATGCAGGGGGAGGTGTTTGTTTGTTTTACAGTATTTGAGAGGATGACAGAGGAGTTGCCAACTCGACCTGTTTCATCTGCTTTTTGAATTGAAAACGTAGTTGCTTGCTTCAGCTAAATCTTCAAGGCCAAGATAATGAGAGGGGGAAAAAAGAAATGGTTCCTGATTGCTCTGTTTTTCTTTACCTGTTTTTAACAACTATATTGCTTTTTTACTGATTTAAACACACGATGGGTAATAGACAAGAGTCACCTGTATTGTTGCTACGCCACTGCAAATACAGAAGGGTCAGTAAGCGGCAAACAGAAGCGTTTTTTTTTTTTTTTTTTGGTTTTTAATTATCCTCCTCCTGGGTACGAGCCGAAAAAGTATGTGACGCAATACTGACCTCTAGCGGTCACGCTAATACTACATATAACGCTTTAACCGTGCCCAAGGAGCACCCAAATCATCGTGATGCACTTCTTCACCAATAAATATATATTTTTTTTATTACACTATCTCAAAGGCATGTGGTCATTAAGAACAACATCAGACTTAGTTTTAGGAACCATGCGCTACACAGCATTGCTTCACTTCATCCAAGTCTACAGAACAATCATTGGACTGCAAACGGATGAAAAGTAAATGTGTGAATGTCATATCAAGACATACGGAAAGATATTTGATATCCCTGATATACAGCTTAATGTCCATGTGGGCTACTAGTGCACTCTGCCCTCACGAGCAAGACAATTGAGCGCACTGGCAAGTACAGCGATTGCCGTCCGAGGCAACGTCAGGACCTAGACTGAGCTAGCCGCAACGCTGAGTACACCTGCACAATCTAAACAATGCGTGCACTGCAAGAGCTCTCAATAATTCAGCCTGCTCTCAATAATTGATGTTTGTGTGCCGTATTTGTTGTGTTTGTGGTTGGTGTCGGCACTTGTGAGGCCTTTTCGTATTTTGCAATCTAATGGAGCTGAATACACAAAAATTTCAAAAGACGTCTCCGCGTTCTAATTATTGGTGTTGTTATTTATCGCTTAGTAGTAATGGTACACTACCATGAGTGTAAGGGCGTATGACATGCTGTGGTTTGGTTTTTGAAAAGAACGCCTCAGTGCTGTTTTAGGCAAGCTTAGCCGAAATCTTTTTTGAGGAAACAGCATCACATTAATGCTAACCTCTGAACACAAGCGCTAATTGGCTAGCTGCCGTGTGAAACAATGCAAAAGTATCCCCAAAAAAGGGATTTGGAGGTCACAAAACGGCAATAGCACTTGCATTTTTCCTTGTAGGTTGGAGTGTGCTCTAAAAGCTTTTTTTTACTGTACCACAAAGACTGCTGGGAACACACATGATGGACCGTTGCACGGATGGAGTGTTGGTGCAGGAGCTGCTTTTGGGTGAACCACACTCGAATGGAGTGTTTGTCCTGTTGTGTTAAGAACTGACAACAATTTGAAGGTAATGGATCAGGAGGAGGTTGAGCCCGAGTGACTTTCAGTGTCCGTGGAGTCGTATTCGTCAGCAGACTCGGTGAGCGCTGGGTATGGCCTGGGCTGGTCCAGGTTGACATATGTGACATTCAGACTGATATAGTGTTCTCCCTCGAGGCTGGAGAGGATGGTGGTAACAGCCGACACCAATGTAGCAAAGTTAGGCCTCAGTTCCGGATCGGGGTCCCAACACTCGAGCATAATGCTGTACCTGTTATCACAAAAAAACATAATTTCAGTATTCACACTTTTTGTGCCATTTTTAGGCGGTGTGTGGTGAGATTTTACTGCTGTAAAACGTTTGCTCAATGAAGGGAAGGACACACTGCCTGAAACGATGAAGAATGAATGGCTCATCTATTCTAATCTATCACATGCGAAGGGATTTGTCATTACAGTTTTTTCTAAAGAAAACATGTTTCATGGTAACATACTCCCGTGTGTGTGTGTGTGTGTGTGTGTGTGTGTGTGTGTGTGTGTGTGTGTGTGTGTGTGTGTGTTGTTTCTAGTGTACATATTAACTACAAAGCTCATACGGCGCATTGCTTAACATGGCGAAATACCAAGCGGGGACAATTTAGAGATTTGACGCTACGGAGTGCCCATAATGTACATCTTGCCACACAGCCACCTGTTCTCCATCTGGTGGGTACTAATGAAGAATAATTAGTATTCCTGTATAAAATCAGCATTCTGACTGAGGCCGTTCTCGGTCAAGTTAAAAGAAGCCGAGAGCCACTACAAAACTATTCCACAAGGCAATATGCAGGTTTTTTTTTATTTTTTTTAGGATAAGCGGTTTGGATAACGCATGCATAGATGGATATTGTAACACTTACAAAGGGTCAGGGCAATACTGAGGCTGGGGAAGCCGCCTGCCCTTCAATAAGTAGTGTGTGATGTCGTAAGGGTCCACTTCTGGGTACGGGCTTGCTCCTCTAGTCAGCATCTCCCACATCAGCACGCCAAAAGACCACTGCGCCCAAGACACCGAGTGGGACAAAATATCAATGCCTGCAATGCGATGCATGACATCATCTCTAGCAAGTCGACGATGTGTTTGACTCTCTTGGCTTCCGCAGTTAATAGCATATTGCGATGTATTGTAATTGTATTTGATTTTTTAAGATCCCGATTAGGTTTTCGCTCGTTTGTTTACCACATCAGATTTAGAAGTGAACTTCTGCGTGCGTAGACTCTCGATAGCCATCCATTTGACGGGCAGTTTAGCTTTTCTGTGGTCTTGAATACTGTAGTACTCCTTGTCGAAAACATCTCTGGCCATGCCGAAGTCTGCCACCTTGACGGTGTAAGACTCATCCAGCCTAAGACAGAAAACCAAAAGAGGAGGTCGTTGGAGAAGGTCTGCGGAAGATTTTTCTGCAAGTCTATCCGACCCACATGCAGTTGCGTGCGGCGAGATCTCTGTGGACAAACTTCTTCTGAGCCAAATATTCCATCCCCTTGGCAACCTGCAGTCCGAAGCCAATAAGGTCCTTCACGGTGGGGTTCTAGAAGAAAAGGCACGATGGTCACACTGAAGGAAAAAGCCTGAAAGGGTTACCTGCGTTTTCCGCACATGGATCCGACAAAGAATACCCGCGGTCGGAGCTCACCCTCTTCTCGCAGCGGATGAAGTGGCGCAGGTCGCCGTGTTTCATATAAGGCAGAACCACCAGGGGGAGTCCTTCTCGCGGCAGGAGGATGCCCAGCAGAGACAGCACATTGATGTGATGGAAGCCCTTCATGATGATCCCTTCCTTCAAAAACTGCTCCACCTCCTCAACATCTGTTATTCCTAAAGAGACGCAGTGTTTCTCAAAGGTCCACAGGCACTCGCTGAAACCGCGGCTAACCAAGTGACGCGAAGTTGACTCACTGTTCAAAGACTTGACAGCGCAGTGTATTTCTCTGTGGCTCTGGTCCGTGAAGTAGCCATGATAGACGGTTCCAAAATGACCTGTCGGGATAAACAGAAAAAGGCCCGGTGGTGGCAAATGCTTCCCCCTAAAATATACGACTGCAGTTATTTCTTACCCTTGCCAATGATTCGATGGTGTTGCACAAGGAGCATTTCAGCAGGAATCAGGACATCCTTAACCTCCTCCAATAGCTCCGGCCTAAAACTGGAAATGGAAATTTTCTCCGCAGCCATTAGAGGAGTGAGAGTAACGTCGATGCTGCCCGCAGCGTAGGACGGGCTGGGGAAGGCCACAGGCCCAGCAACGGGAGTCGGCGGATTCAGGGATATGACTAAGAAAAAGCCGTTTCAGAAAAGTCAGCTGCCACACAGTCAGACTGGCAACTCGCTCACTCTTAGACTTGAGTGTGGGCAGTCACAATGTCACCTCTCCTGTAGTCCCCGACCGGTGACAAGTCGACATTATTTGTCCCGGAACGGCTAGCGCTGTGGGCCAAGCGGCTCTCCACCGTGGCAGCTGAAAAATATTTCCCATTGTTTTAATCATCGACCAGTCATAAAGTGCGCAGACGAGTGTAGACAATGAAACACCGAGGATGTTCCGCTTGAAAGACATTCAACGACACCCTGAGCCGGACGCGCTTGAAGAAACGGGTCTGGTCAAGGTCCGCGCGACCTACCTTTCTTTTTCTTCCTCAAGTGCTTCATGACAGCGAACGCCAGCGCTGCCCCGGCCACCAGAGCTGCGAGGATCCCCAGCACGATGCCCACCATGTAGTGGTTGCTGACCCTTATTACCGTGCCCACATTGTGGACCTGCCCATTGATGGAGATCTACAAAGCCATTATACAGTCCGTCATCGCAGCGCATACGCGCACACTCGCAAACCAACAAGGAAAAATGGCACCTATTAGCAGCCTTGCCAGCAAAAGCAGGGCTGACCCACTTTGTCGCATACGCGCACACTCGCCAACCAACAAGGAAAAATGACACCTAATGCAGCCTTGCCAGCAAAAGCAGGGCTGACCCACTTTTCACTGGAAGAGAAACGCAAATAGGAGCGATCTGCCGTTCTGCACCTTGTCAAACGTCAGGTTTCAGGAGCCAATGTCAATTGTTTTCTCGAGCAAATCAGATGAATAGTTTGACCATCCAAAGTCAATGAAAGCTCTGTGAATGAGAAACAGGGATGCGGCTGCTTCGCTCTGTCTAAACAGCTCACTAATTAACATGTTTTCTTTCAGTTGTTCATTCCACAAAATGGATAATCGTATTATTGCAGCTTGGGGCTGTTTTTGAAATTGTTCGGCGACTTCCTGAAAACTGACAGTCTGCATGCGTTTTTTTTTTTTTCACTCATGTATTATCTTTGTTTTTACGCGGCCATTTTGGAATCTCGGGGTTAAGCGTGTTGAGTGAAGTTCAGTGTTTTACACTAGAATGATAATCGGCGCATCATTTGAAATGATTGGCTTGAAGTAATAAGCAGGGCGCAAGGTCCTCACGCATTTTAGTAAAACGACACACAATCCGCCATCATAGAAGGCTGCCGGCCGACTCACCTTCACGGGCAGTCCCTCACGAGGCACGGTTACATTTTTGGGTATCCGGCAGGTGATCTCATTATCCAGGACTTTGGCGTCGCAATCAACACCCGCCACCGTCATCACGATGGTCATACAGGAGCTGACCAGGTTTAATTTCTGATGCTGTGAGCAGGGAGGAAAATCAAAACCCGATCATGGCAAATGCGACTCGCCGTTAACGGTTGGCCGTTCATCCTTACATGGAGCGAAACTTCATCAAAGCCCGGGTACAAATGCAGCTCATGTCCCTCCGTTTCAAACGGTATCGGCTTGCCATAAGGGTGGTAGGAAAACTCTTTGTTCCAAAGTCCCATGGCTCCGTCCATGTCGAAGGAAAGCTCTCCTTCCTCTGTCTCATCCCTCGGAAACACGGGAGTGACACACACCATCCTTGTGGACAAGGCCTTGCCAGTGCACTCCTGGACACAAATCAGATGGGAAAAGAGGAAGCCCACACGTTCTCAGACGGATAAATGCACTGAGCAAACATGAGCCGCGATGAAATGCGGTGCGGAGAAACAAAAACAGTGCTTAGACAGTCTATTTAGGAAAGGGCCGAATCTGAAACAACCGCCCGGATTTCGAGACGCTTCACGTTTTCACATGAAGCGTTTGTGCAAAAACACGGAAGGACTAAGCACAGCTTTTATTTCGAGGCGCGTTAATTCGGGAATCGCTCCTCAACAATGATACCCTCGTCACAGGCTTCAGGTGGCTCTCGTTGGGTTTAAAGTGGATGATGGTACGATAAACGGAATCCAGGTTCTCTCCTTCAATCAAAATATTTGAGCCCCTAGAGTTCACACACAGACCGGCGTGAGAAGTTGTTAGATATCAGTAACGTAGTGCGGATGTTCTACGGCGCTCTATGCAGCTCCAGACTGTGGACACTTGCTTCATTGCCGTTTTACAGGCCCACCTGTCAAAGCTGCAGTCAGGCAGTACAGCCGTGATTTTGGGATTTTCTTTGTAGTAGAAAACCTTTGTCGTGATGACAGAAGACTTGTCGATGAAGACACTGAGAGGTACGTCCCTCGCCTCTGAGATGGGCTGGGACAGACAGATGATGGAGGACATATTGCCTTTCGGCTTCGTGACTCTGCAAAGAGGGATGCAAGTGCAGCTCAAACTGAAACGGGGACTGAAATACAAATGTGAGATTGAACAAATTGCAATACAAGTCAAAACATTTGCCATCATGTCATAAAGGGTGAGTTGTTCTAAAAAGTATTATTAAATGATTAGTATTCAAATTATTTCTATCATTAGACAACAGACATGATGAGACACTTTGACTTCGAAGGGCAAGAAATAAAAACGCGTCGCTCAGTGCGTCTCTATGAAAGGCATCGACATGCGAATCGGTAAGTTTTCGGTGAGGAGGGTGTGTCACAAAGTGATACATAAACTAGATGAAATCGTGGCGGAAGTGACACAACAGCACACAGTGTGGCACCGAAGCGTCAGTGAGAGCGACAAGGAATGTACATGCGGAGTCGCGCATCAGTGGTGTTTTGAAGCGACAGCGACGTGAAGCTGTAAACTGCCCCACTCCGTCGTGGCCCGTCACAGGTGTACGATAAAAACAAACACAGTCCCAAAAAAATGTTTTTAAATCCGACCTTTTGATCGGACAGGGCACATCATTGAGCGTGACTCTCCTTGTCCTTCCGGCATCCAAGTGAGCTCCAGTCACGGTGATCAACGTGCCCCCGATGCGAGGCCCATAGTTGGGCTGGATCTCAGTGATGTTGGGTGTCTGCATAGAGCTTCAGCGGTTAAGACAGGAAATATTCGAAAAGCATATGATGACTCCAATGAAGGCGTCGAACTTACCAGAAATGTAAAGCCCGGCATTTCTGCCTTCCCGTCAATGGCGTAGCGTCCCTCCACCTTCATGCCTCCTTCGCCCTCACGTACTTCCACTGTAACGTTAACTGCTTTTGACAGGTCGGTGGCCACGGAGCGAATCTTACACACCAAGCTTAAAAAAAAAAACAAAAAAAAAAAAAACACCAACATATTTGCGTCAGCATGCCCTATGAGAGAATTGAAATATTCCATGTGGTCCACCTATTCTTCTATTATAGATAAGATAAAAATGACTGGCATAGTTTTTCGATGAAAATAAACACTTGATTTTTGTTTTTCGACTGCGTGTATTCAAAACGCATTTCTGTTGCGCACCAATTCAACATGAGGAAAGCCTTTCTTGAAAATGGAGCGATTCGTGGGTTTTTCTGGGGATTGAATGTTGAGCGGGGTTTTACGGAGAATTTTTAGGGGTTCATTGTTCTTATTTTTTTCCCCCAAAAGCATTTCTACGGCCCACAATTCTATACACGTTTTGGCTATTCGTCGGTCCGGCTGGTCTCGGCACGGACAGCGGGAGTAAATAAATGAATTGTTTGAACATAATTGTGCTTACTCATTGTAATGTTCAATATCAATCCGAAATAATCATGATGACTGGCGCAGACGAAAATATGGTGCGTACGGCACGTGAATTGGGAGGTTTTTCTGCAATGTGTCAGACACGGATATGTACTTGCGATAAAAGTGATGCACAGTTCAGCAACTTGAAGCTCACGTCGTTCACTCACTGTGTGTTGTTACTCTTGAGAGGGAGCACAATGCATGATGTCTGTCCCAGTCTAACCTGGTGGGTTCTGGAGGTGATAGCGGGCCTGAGGGGTGACTGGAACTCCCATCCACACACTGTTAACTCTGTTTGACCATCGGGGGGAGCAGTCCGTGGAAAGAACTGCAGAATTTATAGCACGACTTGGAAATGCAACCTCTGTTGACTTTGCCCGGGAGTCGAGAACAAGACTAACCCCGGCGATGCGTGGGGGGCAGGACTCGTTCCTCCAGTGGCTCGAGCACTCGCTCTCCCACGAACACACCCCCGAGCACCAGCCGCAGCCCATGAACTTGGGGGCCGTCAGGCACGTGGCGCAAGTCAGAAAGTGCTGACAGCCCGGCCCTCTCTGGGGGACCTGAAACATCTGGAAGAGAGAGGAAGCGGTCAAGCTCAATACTGTGCTCATTCATTCAATCAGTGAAGAAGGCTCCCATGTTGCCAGACAACATTCATTTCAAGTGTCAATGTGTTGGATGTTTTGTATTTTCAACAAAAAAAAAAAAACGATTGTGACGGTACGAATCATAATTAGATGCTGGATTTCATTTATCAGCTGTCATGTCCAACATTTGTGAGGTGAATCACGCCTCGTGCAAGCCAATGAGATTTGAACAAAATCTCCTGACCAAAATGGGAAACGTCTCAAACTATTTCAAACGCTCGAGGTCACACTGGGCAACACAAAACGAAGCCAGGCTTTACTCTCTTATCGTCACTTGCACAAGCATGCACGCACGCAAAGTACATTGAGATTCTTCTACTTTTTTTTCCCGCCATGAGAAAGATCACCCCATCCCTACAAAAAAAAGCAGCCCGTTTGAGCCTCACGAGCATCACAGTGTTACCGAAAGCCAGTCAGTCACGCTCTCCAATGTTAATGATGCAACATATCATCGATGTGATCGGCTGAAAGAATTCTTGTGACAGCCTCTTTCACAGGCTTGTTTTGTTTTGTTTTTTTAACCTTGTCTCCAACCACAAACAGGAGATACTCGGATGAGTAGACGGCAGCAATGGATGAGATCCTTTGGTTTTCCGCCAAAGAGTAATTCGCAAAGACAATCGGACTGGATCTTGTCAGCACCAACTGTAAGCGCAAACACAATTTAAGGAGAGGACAACACATATTCAAGTCAATCCAATCGCCGCGGCGGCATAGTCAAGAGAGAATGTACAGTTGCCTACCTGCAGCAGCCGACCCGTGGACGTACCAATGTGGGCAACGGTCTTGTTGTCAATCGTGGTCACCAACAGGGAGGTGAGAAGGACGTTTGTCATCTGGCGGTTGAAGAGGTCCACTCTGTAGTAGGGCTGGGAAACCATGGTTGGATGGTCTCTGCATGTGGCGTTGTTCTCCATGCTCTAGTCAAAAGGCCACGAGCAGCAGACGCCGGTGACGCGGTGGAACAAGGGAGTAAGTACACGAACACGGGCTAGGCTACGGCATGCCCGCCACCCACAAGAGGAGAGGCGCATCAAATAATGGATGGATGGAGATATACTGGGTGTGTGTTTTTTTATCGTCTTCTGCTTTGTAAGGTGGAAAAACAAAAGGAAAACCCAATAGCCGTCTGCATTGTGAGCACCGCGAGACGCAAGTCATTGTACTACTAGCCCGTGGACTCACCTCATGAGGACAGCTTTCACAGGGCTGGAAGTGGCAAAGTCCCCTGGAAAGTTGCTCGGGTCCAGATTCACAGCAGTCATCCACCCCGTCCGCGATGGCCTCATTGACGTTGTCCATGGGGAAGGCGCACAGGGCCGAATCGTGCTCCGCGACGCCGTTGTCATCCGTGACAGCGAAGACCCCATAGAGGATATCGTCCTCCTCCTCGGCGCCCAACTCTTCGGCCAGCTCCCTGCCGGCTTTGCCGAAATGCGCCGCCTGAACAACATTGTACACCACATCCTTGTAGGGTTCGTTGACCGCGTTCCTGCGCCGCCGTTTCGGTTCAAAACGACACTCCAGGATGACCTCCCGATATCGCTTCATCTCCCATTCATTGCGCGGGAGACGGCCGAGTCGCGTTTGAAAGGGGGACGATTCCTGGTCCGGGCTCTCTCTCTGAACTGCCACGAAATACACAAACTCCTGAGTGAAAAAGCTGTAGACGTAGTCAATGTGGAAAGTCCTCCTCAGACCGGGAAGGACGGTCAGGCCACGAACGTCGCTGTAGAAGCCGTCTTCCGTCGCCAGCGGTCGCCGCACGGATATCGACTTCCTCCCGTAGCGCTGAGTCACACTTTCATTCACAGTCGCGGCGACAAAGAAGTAGACCGTCTGACCCTCCTCCACCATGGTGACTTTGGTACCAAGCGGGCTGGCGACGCAGTCGGGGCAGTAGGCGGCAGAGTTTGAATGAGCTCGAAACAAACACTTGGAAATAGATGGGGGCTCTCCGTCGCCGTGGAGTTGGTGGAAATAGCAAACGCCATACTGGGAACTGCCGCAGGAATACAAATACATGAAGAGGGTGTCCAACAACAACACCTGATTGTCGGTGTCCTCCAGGAAGTTGGGGTCTCTGTCGATCTGACACAGGTCACAAACCTGACATTCCGGACTTCCCACCGGCCCGGTACGAAGTCCCCACGTCTTCTCCAAGCTTCTGTTGACGGCTTCGATCACATTTTGCGAGGCTACGTACACCTCCTGGTACAAGGAGTTGTTGACAATGTTCTGGATAGGGCCGCGGGCTTGGAAAAAAGGCATGGTGTAAACCACGGAGAAGTTGACTGGCTTTGGGACCAGCGAGGGACAGCCGGCCGAGGCCAAAGCCAAAGCCAGTAGAGTCTGAAGACAGACGCACGCCCCCCAGCGGGCGCTCCAGCTGGCCATCCCCGCCCGCGACGGATGCAGAGGGGCCAACGGCACTCGGGGTTACCTCCGCGAATGACGTCCGGACAAAAGCATCTTTAGCACCAGCCCGGGATATCTGATCAAAGGAAAAGTCAAGATTGAGTAAACGAACGGACCACAAAGAAATCTGAATACCTATTTTGGGAGATACATTTTATTTACTTGACTATGAGGAAAATACTGTTCGATTAAGCTTGACAGTTTGTGTGTGTGCCCTGTATTTTTTTTTCAATTGCTACTTTCAATATGACAGAAGAAGCTCTTGCTACTGCTTTATTGAGCGGATTCATGCGCCCGGGACGATTTGCCACAGCGCAGCTCAACATCCCATGACTGTCATACCGTTCTCTTTTAGATTACAAGCTAGTCGACGCCGACGTCGCCGAGTCACGCGCTCCATTTTATCTGAATTGCTTCAACACACGGCGAGTCGGGAATACACCAATGAAACATTTTGTATCGTTCAGGGCGGCGGGCGGTACACATGACGAGACAATCGCGCGTAACATTTGCAGGAGGTCGCACTAAAAATAACCTCATTCACAGTTTACTACCCGCAGCAAAGTGTACAAGCACGGCTCTCTGTTTTTGTTGTGTAAATAGAATATTACCTCACACTGTTGTGAAGTGAATCAGCCATCGATTGGACTTTTACCATCATCGATCATTTGTCTCCCACAAGCTTTGCTTTTTAAAATGGACATTAGAGTGGAACCGAGTACCGCAACCAACAGCGTCCACGTAGGCTTTGGCAGAATGTCATTCACTTGTTTCCCCAAAACAAGGTAGCCTTTGAAACCTCTCCATCCTGTGCAGACGTGACTTTGTTGATCATTAACGGAGTACATCCCGCTAAGGCTGTACTCCCAAACGAGGGCCTCTCTCGTTGACATTCATGTCACAACCGTTACGTGCCTCCCGAGGTAAACGACGTCTTCGGACGGATGCTCTGAGGAAAGTTGGGATCAAATTGCCTCTCTGTTCATGTCTGAGCATTTCGGATACTTTCAGCAGCAAGGCAAAGTAGCCAAAATACAACTTTGTGGTGAAATATTTCGCTTTTGCAAAGGCGCAAAGTTATTATTCACTCTTGAATCGTGTTTTACATTAATAATTTATGGGATGCTTGGTTACATTTTAACAGGTCAGAGTGAGGTGCAAGCTAAGTGGGTGAAAGCCAAGGTTAGTAACTTGCAACTGTGCTGATTACTTTCATAATCTGCTTATGATCATGACTACAAATGATATTCCTTTTTTTTTCCACAATGTTATTTCGAGACCCGCTTAAAGGTTTGACTAAAGGCTTAATCGAGTGTATTCCCTTTTAGAGAAGGTGGAATGTAGGAAACCATCAGCAATCATTTAAACATTACGTTGCTATTCAAATATAATTTGGAAATTGGAAGCCGAACAAAAGGAGCGCTTCGTGGCATCGGTGTGTAAGCTTCCTTGCTTGACAAAAGAGGACCACCATTCTCCATCAATCAATTGCAAGTTATCCACCGGGATTTGAAGAGGCCAGTGGAACGATAAAAAGTCATTATGCTCAACGTGTTGTGACCCATATCGGTCAAAGTATTGATGAAGTGGAAGGGCAGGCAAACCAAAGGGTGCAGCGTGGAGATACACACTTGTATTTCTCGGCAGTGAATCCCCAGCCCGCCTGTATTCTTCACGGCAAATCTGCACAGAAACCTGATATCAACTGTGACTGACAGGGGTCCTTGAATGTAATACTGTAGGCTCAATTTGCAGCAGTGATGTATGTGGTGTGGGTTTTTTTTTTTCTAGTGATTTTCAATTCTGAAAGTTCATTATTGCACGGAAATTTTCAGTCATCACCTCTGCTCTCTGTTTTATTGGTATCCCTTAATGACGTTTCGTCTCAGCCGTCGCCTTGACTATTTGCAGTACTGTACATACTGTATGCTCAATTTGCAGCAGTGATGTGGTGTGGGGTTTTTTTTCCAGTGATTTTCAATTCTGAAAGTTCATTATTGCGCGGAAATTTTCGGTCATCACCTCTGCTCTCTGTTTTATTGGTTATCCCTTAATGACGTTTTGTCTCAGCCGTCGCCTTGACTATTTGCAGTACTGTACATAAACTAACTCGTTCCAAACCGCGTTCATGTGACACATCCTTCAAATAAACGGACTTGAAAGAAAACATTCAGTAGTGCCCTCATCATGAATAGATTTGAACTCATTCGGATATTTGTTTTGCTCGTGCTTGGTTGAAGGCGTCGTCCTACCTGCACGGATCGTCGGCACCGTCACAGCCGGGATCTCGTCGAAACGTTTTGCCGCAGCGGGCTCAGACTTGACCTCACGTGAGAGTGGCGAAGGGGCCGGTTGTCGGAGGAGTGGGGGTCGTGCTTTGGCTTCCTCCGCGCCGTTTCGTGCCGCTCGCTCCTCCTCCCCAGATGTCAAGTTGTCAACCGCGCCGGTGGCTGCCGCTGCGGCTCCAATCGGCGGACTCGCTCGTGTCGCGTACGTGAAGGAAAATTTACCGGTTCAATGTCAAACATGATGTCAAATTCACTTGCGCAGGTGGCCAAGGAAAAGTAAAAGATTTACTGTAACTCCTTTACCTGTCGCACACTCTTGAGGTGCACTTAAGTGAAACAAAATAAAAGCATGTTTTAATGTCAATTATATAACTGCAATATCTGTTTAAATAACTTGGCACGACGGGAAAAAATGCGCACAAAGTAGTTTCCTTTTATTAACTTGCACAACCACACCGAGGGATTAAAAACACTGCGCAGTGCGCACACTTTGGCTCCAAGCAAAAATTCTGACAGGATTATCAGGACCTAATCGACAATAGGACGTGCATAAACAAGTCTAAACGGATCATTTCTGAAGTGGCCAATAATAACTAATGATAGTTCTCAATTTATGTCGGGATTTGTTTTTTCAGATCAGACGGATATGTTGAACGCCAGAAACTGTTGCTTTTTAAGGTTAGCACAAGACGCCGCGTATAACTGGAGTCATTCGTGTAATTGACAACGTCAAGTGTTTGATGTTGTCGCATTGCAAATTTAACATCGCTATGGCTGAGGAATATATTGATTGCTTCTCCCAATCTGTTGAGTCGTACCTTACCCGCGAGCCTAATGAGGACGAGCAATGAAGATAAATGGATGGATGTTTTCGTACAAGTGTAGAACTTCACTGCATCCTAACGGGTGACCTCATTTAGCTCCACAAGAGGGAAAAAGGAAAAAAAAAGGCCTTCGGTATATGAGGTAAACAAAATTATTCGTGAACCTGTTCCCAGCATTCAGTGCAGTTCCACACAATAATAATAATAATAATAATAATAATGCATTTTATTTAAAAGCGCCTTTCATGCCACCCAAGGACACTGTACAGACAATAAAAAATACAATGTAAAAATTGTTAAGCAAGATATTATAAAAACAAGACATAAAATCATAAGATATAGGAGATGGAAGGGCTATGTATTGTAAGCAATCCTGAACAGGTGTGTTTTTAGACGGGACTTGAAAGTGGAGAGAGGTGTGCAGTTTTGAAGGTCCGGAGGTAGATTGTTCCAAAGCTTTGGGGCAGCGCGACTGAAGGCATAATCATAAACATCTTGTCAAATGACGACCTCCCTGACTGTGTCAAAAAAAAAGTCTAATTTAGCAAAAAGCAGCAGGTCCTTTATATTAGCTCTGGGCTCAGCTCGTCATCACATTGTGACAGGCTAACTGTACTGTAGAGTGTTCCTTTACTTTGCAGTTAACTTGTTTAGGAAACAGAAGCGTATGTTCAATGCAGGTCTGCACAACTCAAAGATGATGGTACTCCCCCGCCTCCCCCTAAAAAAAATTCAAAAAAAGACATGTAACCAAGAGTTTCAGTGTTATATTTTATTGCAAAATAAAACAAACAGAAAGAGACCCCCTATTTTAATACCTTAATTTATATGCACTAGATATGAATTTGTTGGAATAGAAACTGATTAAAGCGTCTTCATCAATCCCCAAGTGCAGGTGTATTTAAATTAAAACACACAAAGCTGACATTAAGATGACAGAAGACTTACAACTGTGATCCATGACATTTCTCTTTGGAGCGTTATTTGGTGCAAGATGCAACTAATGGTCATCATGTGCAGAAAAAAAACAAAAACAGGAATGTATGTAATAACTCATGGCGTCACAGCAGAAGGATTCCAGTTATGGCTGTTGCTTAACCGCAGCGGTCCATCCAATTTAAAAACTTTTCTAAGTGATGCAAGCTGGGGTGTGGATGCTGCTTTCCTAAGGAACAGTTCTCACCCATACTAAAAGGAATAAAAATAACACATGGGCAAAAAAGTCACAAAGATAAATTTAACAATTGACAATACCGTTAATTTAGTGGAAACGAGGTGTGCATAGCTTTGACACGTAATTTACGCATACTCCTGAGTCAACACGTTCAGGCTTTCGGCAGAGAAGTGTCAATAAGTTAGATGACTCAGGATAAAGAGGCGATCCTCCTCCTTCCTAATCCATTTCAGTAGTTTGTTGACAGCAGAAATGGCCAACGCCTTTGTGCCCAGGGGACTGAAGCACAGGTAAAGCTCAAAGCCGCTCGTCACCTGTGGGAGGGAGAAGGGGGGAACAAACTGCATTATTGGCCATTTACAGGAGACGAGCATGGTTGTACTTCAAGCTGGGGTTTAGTTTTTCAATTCAATAATGCCCAACAAACAAATCTGTGGCTTCATCACTTTATCGTTTCCTGTTTCGTGGGCACACACTTACCCATGCCATCATGTTTTCGGTTTCCCCACAGCGGTAGAAGGAGCGTAAGGGCCTGGTCGGATGGTGCACATAGCTGTGAAGGTCCTGGTACAAAGCCATTAGCCTCCCCTGCTCTTCATCGGACTGGTACACCAAAGGAAACTCTGGACTGGAGGTGGAAACACACATTCACGTGATACAGTATATTATATTTATACATCTCTATATTATGTACATAATATACTATGCTATGGTAGCTAAAACTCAAATAGCTTCATAATGATTTGGGGAGAACAGACGACGTGTTTGTTTTTCTCCATATCATATCGAAGGTTTTGGTGAAGACTGCATGCCCAGAAGCTAATGTGGTACGGTTGTTTTTACATAGAAAAAGTGACACTTGTCAGGAAAATCCTTGCAAAAAAAAAAAGAAAAATCTTTCCAGGAAATGAGCACTCAAAACACCCCAAAAGATCCCGCTGAAAACAACAAAAAAAATGTGATAATTGATTTATCATTGAGCGACCTTACTGAATTTAAATGGTCCAAAACCCTCAGAATTTAAGCTCTCAACAGTCAATAATCGGAGCGACATTTTCTGGAAATATTGTTCCCCACCTGGTATACAGCCCGGAGCTCTTTGATTTGTACATGAAGTGCCTGAGTTCTGGAATGCCAATTTGTGCGACTGAATAGCTGCGAGACTTCAGCGCCTCCTTCAGGGCTTGATAAGCACTGCGCTTACTCAGCCTGTCGAGAAACTTTTGCTTGCAGTCCGACATGTTGAAAAAGTCCTCTCGGTCGGTTGAGACCAGGATAAGGCACAGCTCTGACGCAGGTTCCAAATAGGAAATGTGAGCATGGAAAAATCCTGCGGTATTGAACTTTGGCAGACAGATGGGCGTCCAGCCTTCACCTTCTCGGAAAGATGAAGACGAGCCCACCAGATTGAAGACCAGGTGCAAGTCTATGTGGTGAAGGAACTGGTCCTTCTTCCGAACCAGAGTCACCAAGCGGTCTCCAGCCAGCAGAATGGAGAAGACGAGATTTTTGGATTTGGCGGCCTGCAGGCTGGACGAAATGACGCCCCTGGACGAGCTGGCCAGAGGCAGGCAGGTGACGGCGCTGAGCAGCAGGCCCGGGTCGTGGTCCAGCCGATGCAGGAGGTTGTCGGTGAGATACTCGGAGCCGGCCAGAAGGCGCCGCAAGTCGTAGTTCTGCTTGTGTTGGAAGATGTGGTTGAGCTGCGTGAGGGTGAGCAGGCTGACAATCTGATAGTAGACGTACTGCAGCTCCCTCAGCAGCTCTTTGTCTGAGCGACAGGCACGGGAAACGCCCACCAGGACCAGCGGACTCTTGGTGAGGAAAACCACCTTACAGCCATCTGAGAAAAGACATCACATGGACACGCTTTGGAGGGTGGCTCTGTCTCTTGCTCACGTCTACGCCTTTTGTCACCACGCCGACCAGTGAAGGTGCTCGGACAGGCAACTAAGCGAGCCTACGTTTTGTCTTGCGATGCCACCACTGGCTAATTCCCATTGCGACAAAGCAAGCCTACATTTTGTCATCCATTGGCTTAAAAAAAAAAAAAAGATGATTTATGAGAGCTTCATCGTGTTCTAACCTGCATGGATGGAGCGGATGATGTTGTTCTCGGCCTCGACAAAAGATACAAGGGCCATCATTACCCCCATGGTGCTGGACAGAGCCTCCTCCGTGCCATAGCGGGTGTAAATGGGCTTTCCTGCCTCGCTCAGAACAAACATGTGCTTTTTGTGGCTCCTCCAGGCCTCGCTAGACACATCCTCCTCTTTGCTCCTGCAGTCTGGTGGAATGTTGAGTTGCTCCACTCTTTTCTCTTCCACTAGCACTCCGACATCCTCTGCGCACTCTCGGGATCCGAACACCTCAGCCTCCTTGCGGGCCTCTTCGGCCTCTGCAGTCAGATCCTCGAAGGACTGCGCATGGACAAACATGGCGTTTTTCTGACCTGCACCTGTGGAAACCAGAGTTGTGTTCACTGAGAGTGCGACGAGTACGGAATATGATGAAGCATGAACAAGATGCAGAAGGCAAGAACAAAACGGTGCCACAGGAAGTCAAAAACAATATGACAAACTCTGACAATGAAGATAATAGACCCGTCAAGGACAAAAGTCAACATTTTGGAGTGTGCCAAGGATCCTTTTTTTTTTTTTTTTAACAAACATTTGTGAGGTCAGCAGTTACTGATGTTGGAAAAGAATGCCTCACAACCATTCACACACCATATGGACAATTAAAAATATTTTCCTTTTGGCTTGTCATCCTTTCAACAAACTCTCAAAAATGAGAAACAATTTGCTAAAAAAAACACAAAAACAAAAGACTGATAAGTTGGTATAGGTGTGAGTGTTTGTTTTATTAGTCATAGTAGGAGAATTAGTCGTGCAATTCATGCGATCACTTTCACACCAAAGGGCGGTTAATAAGTGACAATGTCATTCTGTTAGCATGTTTCGTCACACGGCACAATGGGTACTTTCCCCCCGCGGACTTGTCAAAATAGGAAAAGCACTGGTGGAAACTTGGAATTCTAACATTAACCAACGACGACTTTGTTCCATTGGTGGCCCCCATAAAGGCCGTTCAAGACTGAGCATGCATAATAGTGGGAACTAGGATGAACACAACTAAATGCCATCCACATTACAACAGGCCAATTCCCATTTCCAGCGAGAAAGGGCTGACGACCTTTTAAACTTTTATTTCCATTGTTTTAATGTTCATCTTGCAAGCTTTCAACGGTCGCGACAGAAAGAGAAATCAAAGCTGAGATTAGATCTTACGTGACTGCCCTTGGCGAGTGGAACAAGGTCATTTTCTTTATAAAGAAAGTACAGACCTCAACAGCAAAAAATAAAAGGCTCCATTATAAAAGGTACAATATGTCCTCCTATCCCAGCATTTTCAAAAATATATGGATCACGTTGCTTTGGGGCATTTATGATGAGCAAAATGTCAGATGAAATCGATTTGTGGCTGAATTTTGGACAGCCTCACCCGGTTCTGTACCCTCCACCAGGCCGGGTGTGGGACTGTCAGCCCTCTCGGTGCAAAGATGGTGTGCAGGTGCCAGGGTGCCATTCTCCCATGGCACAGATGGTCTTTGGCGTTCTTCATCCATCACTGATACTGCGAGCGCTTACACACACCTTGGAGAAAGTACACATAAGAATGTATACAAACCCAATTCAAATTACGTCGAGACATGTTAAGCATAAATAAAAGCACAATACAATGAGTTGCAAATCATGTTCAACCTATATTTAATTGAATACACTACAAAGATGAGATATTTCATGTTCAAACTGATCAACTTTATTGTTTTTGGTAAATCGGCATTAACTTCGAATTTGACGGCTGCAATCCAAAACAGCTGGCACGGTCCTGACACAATACACGTTGTTGTTGTTTACACTCGGAGGGCGTCAGACATAACTAATTAGGCAGAAACTCGATCGACTTGACAACTGACTTTCGATCAGACTATCGAAATTAAGTATTAACTTTTCATGACTTCCTCGTTGCCGTTTTAAACCAACAAAAAGATACCTTTCATTTCCAGAACCGTCTGCAGCTACGGACAGAGCTCTCTTCAGGTCTCGCAGTCAACTTGCTAGCTGAGAGGGAATCGCCTTCTTCCTGCTTGTCAACCGTAGACACAGTTTGGTCTAGCACGAATGCGGAAGTTTGATTTGTGGGAAATGAAGTTCACTTCAGTATGAGACCAAAGAAGAACCGACTGCCAACTGTTCCCAACAATGTATTCAAACTGAACACATGTTAATTTAAACTGCTAATGAAAAATGCCGTAAAATATTGTATGTATAATGCGGCAAGTAAAAACTCGACAATTTATGAAAAGGGGTTGAGGAGCCTGGGCCGTGAACGCACCATAATGGGCGGGCCTAGTTTTGTATTTGAACGTATGGCGGCGAGCGACTTGAAGAGTCGAAACTCGCCGTAGCAAACTGCATTTTAATCGAGACACTGCATAAATGGACTCAAACGACACATTAAAGATAATCCGAGGGATGCGTTGATTCCAACGGATTATGCAGTAACCCAACGTCCCGTTTTGGTAGGTATGTCGACCATGATCAAGCAACCGTTGAGGCTAATAGTTGGTGTTAGCTAACAACGGAGTGGCTCACGTTTAACCAGTTCAATGCCAAGTCATTTGCGAGCATATTTGTGAAATGCGCGCGTGTGTGTTCCTGCTTTCATAACAGGGCGATCTTCCGGGATATTAAGATGCCTATTCGCGCATTTTGCATAATTTGCTGCGATTTATTCGATCACTCCAAGGATGTCGCTGCTATCAACTGCGGACACACTTTCCACAGTGACTGGTAACGTCAGCTAATTGAATTACAATAGAGTATTGTACGTTAATTCATTTTCATTGTATCGTTTGTTGTATTTCCCTCACCTACTAGCCTCCTTCAGTGGTTTAAAACAGCGCCGACAAAAACATGCCCCCAGTGTCGGAAGCAGGTAATTTCGTATCAACACACCACTTGCTCGCACTTGTTGACCTTGCCTTACAGAACGCTGTCCTCAATATGTAGGCCAGCACTCGGCACATTATCCACAAGCTCTTCTTTGACATTGGCTCAGAGGAAGCGCGTCCAGTAGATCCAGAAAGCTTGGAGGTACCTCAAGATTACACTTCAAGATCTCTACTAAAACATTTAGTTTGTTCTATAGTCACGGTGTGCTTCATCTCTTAGAATGAGCTTCATAGGCTAAGGGCCCTTTTAAGTTTGAAAGGTAAGTTTTTTTTAACTATTATTATTTCAGTTACACAATGATTCCCAGTCAATGAAAAAGATGTTTAATATTTTCTAGAGAGAGACTGTCGGGAAAAACAGAAAACCGTGGATGATTTGAAGGACTCTGTGGACATGCAGAGGAGAGACTTGGACGGCATGCGGAAAGAGATTTTCGAGAAGGATGTGCTGTGTTCTGCTCTCAAGGTACGCAATCTGTTCGTCGTCATAGAACTGGTTGTTTTCCTGAGTCTGTCTCACACTGTGCACATTTTGCTTTTAATATGATCTCACAGAAACAAATGACTTATCTGGAGGCGCAACATGATGATGCTCAGGCTGCCAAGGACGAGGCCCGTAGGCTGAGGACCAAAATAAAAACCTTTGAAAAGTAACTGCGCTCAAACTCGACTCAAATAAATGTGTTTGTCTTCAGCGTGGATGTCTCAGAAATTGTTCTGCTACTTTCTTTGGGCCACAAAAGTCTGTTCTTACACTGCTGGTGCATCTCCAGCATGGGTGTTTTGTTACAGGGCCAACGAGCTGAGGTGGAGTCAATGATTACGGACATGGGTGTGAGTCAGACCGCTGTGGAGCAGCTCTCAATCTACTGTATCTCTCTCAAAAAGTATGTATGACTGAAAGACTTTGATCATTCTCAGGCTTCTTCAACTGGAACTTTGGCTCTGTTATAACTCATAAATACCCCCCCCCCTTATCTATCTATTTTTATGTGCATTTGAAATGACACATCTGATCTGACGGCGTTGATCTGCGCAGATGATGACGTATTGACAGATTTCCCATATGTATGAGATTTTTATTCACATTTGGAAGAGGCCTGATTCCGATCTAAAGCTTTCCAATTCAATCCATTTTACGCTGCCTTGGCTCATATCTGACCTGTGCCACTGGAGAGTAAAAAAATGTGAATTGTCGCTTAAATCCAACCTAATTCTCCACGGATAGGACTTCTGTCATCGGCCACACTTTTATTGCATTGCCTGCATTCTTTTTCATTTTTTAGAGAGTATGACAATTTAAAGGCAACCTTGAAGTCTAGTAACGACACGTGCGAGAAACTGCGGAGAGAAGTGCTCACCTCCAACTGCAAGGTGACGTCAATTTGCCGCGTCAATAATTGCGAGCGTTGTTTCGGTTGCCGTGCTCCTGTTTTCAATCTCATTCTGTGCATGTCATTTAGATGCAAAAAGCCTCGGTGGAAGTCAATCAAACGAAAGAAGACATGAAGTCCCTGCAAAACGATCTCGCCAGTGCGGACCGAGAGATATCGGTAAGGCGCGGCAACAGAATTGTCTTGGCACTTGGCTGTCCGATTAATCCATGTTTGCCCGCATCCGTTTCGTTCCGTAGAGTTTGAAGAAGAAAGTGGAGTTTCTTCAGAAATCTCTGAGCACCCCAACAAGGACAAATGAGGCGCTCAGTCGGCTCGTCTTTGAAAGGTACATTACCCGCAGCACGCCTGTGGGGAGCTGGCTGTTTTGGTTTCAATTTGAACGATTTCTGCTCATCTGGCTCTTCCTGGCTCCCCATTCAGCCCGGCTCCAATAGAGCTGAACCAGCCTCACCTCCACCCGCCCGTCGACGGCGATGAGATTGATCTCAACTTAACCTATGATGTCACCACACCAGATGACGCGGCCAAGAGGCCAGTAAAGACGGCAACCAAGAAGATGCGGTTGGACCGTCAACCGTATGCATCTTGTACTCGTAGTGTGCGTTGTTGTTTTGTCTTGAACTCAAGATCAACTAATTGCTGAAATGTTGTCAGGTCATTAGTTTCCACACACAATGAGAGGGCCTCCACGTTAAGCAAGGTAAGTTGAAGTAGCGCTTGGCAAGGTCTGCTTCCAAATCTCAAGTGAGTTTTGTCTCTTAGGCCCGAGAGGAGGATGCAGCCATGGATCCTTTTTTGAGGAACTCGCTCCTTTTCAGAAAGAAGACTTTTGGTAGCATGCTGGACCCTCAGAGGAAGCTCGGAGCTGTATGTCAACGCAGCCACCTTTTCTTTTGAATGTCTTTCAATGCAGTTTTTTTTTTTTTCCCCATCATGACCTAAATTGAAAAGCTTCTAATTTCAGGTGAAAAGTGGTTATGATGGATTAGGAGGACGAACCAAATTTATCCAACCTGTATCCTTTTGAGCTGCCTTCGTCATCTTTATGCCATCTCCAAAAAGCAACCAACTTTTAACCTCTGTGACAGGGGTGTCACACCATTTAAAAAAAAAAAAAAAAAAATGGGGGCGGGGGAATGCAGGTTTCCCTTGGCGAGCATTTCTGACTCTGAAACCATAGAAATGTATTAATTGTCTCATGTTGTCGTATGGATGCATCAACACACATAGCCCGTTTTGAAATCAGAAGTCAAGGAAACATTTTTGGCAATTCTTTTGGTTTGAACAAAAATGCTTGCAACATGTCGGTGTTATTAAAAGTGAAGACAATTTGCAATATTTGGACAGATTTTAACAAGAACCACGAAGTAGATCCGCACAGCTTGCTACAGCATGCCACAATTTGCAATCATGCTAACATAATAAAATGCCCTGCTTCACATTAGCAACATGACTTTTTTATTTTTTTACTTCCTCCATCTCCAAATGGCAACGCTAGGGAAAAACAGCTCATTGTTAAATGTCATGAGCAGCATAAAGTGACTGGCAGTGTCCCTTAACCCAAGCCTCCTCCACAGTCTCCGTTGGCAGAGATTCGCCCACTCATAAAAGCGAGAAGAAAAAAGGTGAGCAGGCCAACGTTGAAGCCGGGACCGTGCCTGACGCTGGATAGCTTCCTGGAGTGACAAGTCCCATGACAGCACGGAACATGAACTGTACTTCACATGGCATTTCCCCACCTCCCCATCCCCAAATGGGGCTCTTTCTGAACAGTCCCGTGAGGTGTCTAACCACTTTTGTTAGGCATGTTTTAGTGAAAGCAAATTTGGGTTTTTGTTTGCGAGTAAACACTCCAAACATTTTTGTGTGTGAGTGACCGTATCAATGAATGCATCTGCCCTGCTCATGTGCTTAATCAAGATTATCAGACAAGCTGTTTCAGTTAACATTGTGAAACGTTCTCATTTGAGCTCTTATTTCAAATCTTAAGTGTTGTAGTTTAATTTATGTTTTACCAATGGAGATGTCCCCATGAACTGGTGACCAACGAACGTCAATAATAAACAATACTTTTATTAACACGTGTGCTCTTGGCCGTGCCTCGCGGGTTCGTTCTCCTGCAGGGGGCGGTCGAAGCTTTTTTTTTTTTTTTTTTAAACCATCGGGATGCTGAAGGTGTGCGTCGCGTGGTCAACTTGAATGACGTGTTCACCTGTTTGACAAGACGCCATGTGGCCAATGGGAGAGAGTAAAAAAAACATCAAACCGACGACATTGCCTTGGTGCCCTCCCCAGTGTTCAGTGACGAACGTGCGGAGCATTTTCCACACAGCTTTCAGTGCAATCCACCCCCCACCCCCTTTAAACCTTCAATAATATAAATCTCGAACACTTAATTACAGCACAAACATCCATGCAAGTGCTTTTGGAGCCTCGTCAACCCCAACAGATTTCCACTGTGGGCTGTCGTCTTCTTGCGGCTGAAAGGTCACCAGACAGCTTAATTTTCCTCGACAGCATTTGCCACCGTAAATTGACAAGCAACAATAGCTCCGTGGCGGAGGGGAAGGAGCATGTCTGGTTGTGCCGCAGAGTGGCGTCTTCTTGCACCGATGCGAAAATGAGTTCAGCGCGTGCCTTGAAATAACCTCAAAACGCATACCTGTCAACCTCGGCAAATACCTGCACTTATAAATGATTACGATTATTCCCCTTACAAAGCAACAAAAACCCGTATAACGGTTTACCGCGCATGCGCACATCATGGTTTATCAATCGACCGTACGCAGCGAAGAAAAAAAATATACGATTGGGGATTACTTTTGCTGGTTTGCCGTGACAATAGTAGCGATCGACGACGGCATTGTCGTTGGCTACCAGCAGGTGAGACGATCTGGATTTGAGCCAAAATGGTCTTTGTGAAATCGGTTCACAATTGTTTTTTTTTTTCCCCCTATAAAAGTTGTAATACGCCGTACATGATTTGAAATGATTTAAAAAACGTATAAAATACGGGGAAAACGTACGAGTTGACAGGTATGAAAACGTGTTGTGGCGAGAGCCATCTGGAAATCACAATGCCCGTTTCCACTACCCACAAAACGTTCACAATTGACTTCTGGGTGAAATTTCAGGATGAACGCAAAATGCACAGTCATAACCGTCCCCCATGGACTTCATTTGACCACGGAGATGCACCTCGAAACTTTCAAATGCACAAGTCCAATTGACTCGGAAGTCAGGATTGGCGAATGGGTGTATGACCAATTAAAAAAAAAAAAAAAAAAAAAAAAAACATCATCTTCCATTGTTACACGTTTTAGATAAGTTTTGTATTGAAAAGAGAGTATTTCAACAACTTATGAACATAGGAAGTTGATTTTTAAAAAGTGAAAAAGATGAGCATAGAAAAAATATGAAGACATTTTTTTTACTCAATCGCAGGCCGCAACAAATGTAGAAAAATATAAAATGGTGGAGAGGACTAGTTGATACTCTTGATAAGTGTTGTCGATATGCAAGACGAACCAAATTTCCCTCTCAGGAAAAATGAAGACCCTTTGAAATGTCACCCAAAAGCCAAATCACTTAACTTTTTGTGAGGAGTGAACAAAAAAAAAACCCAGCTGCTCAAATCAAGCATGTGACTGCTGCACTACGGCTCCTTCACAATGAGTTATCCAACCAAGTCCTTGTATGAGTGCACAAAATAGGTGTTCTTTTCTTTTTATAATTTTTATCAAGGTGAGCTCCTCAATCTCCTTTTGTGCTTCAATCCAGACGAGTTATGTCGAAGACAGAAATCCAGGGACATTGTTGGTGCCATCGCGAAAAAGGAAGGGGAAGAACACTGGCCAGTTAAACGCTTGTTAGTCGTCCGTTTCGTTGATCGTGTCAGTAAGGGCGCTTGTGATGTCATGATCGTCTCATTTGAGTCTCCTTTACTGTGATCTGTCTGGCTCAATCTTCGACTCGCCATTCTGTTTGTCGTTAGATTTCTGTGACAGGTGCGTAGAAACGGTGGCTGCCTGCGCCACGGCTTTGAAGCTACGCTTTCGCTTCTGTACGTTCTGCTCCGGATGGAAGATGATCACGTAGACTTTGGGGATGTACAGCATACCCAGCGACACTGTGGCACTCAGACTCATGGACACTGTCAGAGTGGTGGTCTGGATAAACATCTGCAAAAGGAACGGAGGCAGATCAAAAATGTGTGCATGCGCGACTGGATACTTCATTCAGTGCACCCGAGATGGCACACAAGAACGGACAATCACTCATGCGGTCATAATAATTAGAGAGAGAGAGAGAGAGAGATAAAACCCAAACCTCACCCTAACGCTCAACTCAAACCTATCCTAAGGGTCAGTGTTAGGTTTAGGGTTCGGGTTAGGATGACGGTTCAGGTTCGGGTTAGGGTTCGGGGGTTTGGGTTAGGGGGTTAGGGTTAGGTCTAGGTTTGGGTTTGGGGTTAGGGTTAGCGGTTCAGGGTTTGGGGTTAGGGTTAAGTTTAGAGTTATGGTTAGGGGTTAGGGTTTAGGGTTTGGGTTAGGGGTTAGGGTTAGGGGGTCATAGTTAAGGGTTTGCGGTTAGGAGGTAGGGGATAGGTTTGGGGTTCGGTTTAGGGTTAGGGTTAATGTTCGTGTTAGGGTTAGGGGGTTAGGGTTAAGGTTAGGGCTTAGCGTTAGGGTTAGGGGTTAGGTTTAGGGATTAGCGTTTGGGTTAGGGGTTAGGGTTAGGGTTAGGGTTATGACCCATGTATGTTGAGTATTCCGGAAAGGTAATTAGTGGGCTTTGACGACATCAACTCTGTGGCTCTATAAAGCCAACACCATTCATGAAATTTGACTTCCCCTGAGATTGATGCGTGTATGTTGAGTATTCCGGAAAGGTAATTAGTGGGATTTGATGACATCAACTCTGTGGCTCTTACAAAGCCAACACCATTCATGAAATTTGACTTCCCCTGAGATTGATGCCAATGAATTATGAACTCCTTATTCAAGCAAACTGCACCGTTTATAAATAAAACAACACACATGTGCCATAAATAAGGTATCTTTGCGGTCCCACCAAAAAGCCCCCCCCCCCCCCACACACACACACACACACACACACACACACACACACACACACACACACACACACACACACACGCACACACAGCCCACCCCCACCCCAACCCGCTCTCTGAAAGGAACTGTGGCGATGTCTGGATTTGGCTTCATGCGCTCAAGGCCCCAGGCAAAGCCAATGGCACTGCCTTGGAAATGGTGAATGTAGCCTCCGTAGATGAACACAGAGCAAGTGGAAGACCGGGCCCGCGCATGACCCCGTAACATGTAGGGAGGATAAATCATATTTTCGTGAGACATACCGAGGTCTATATTTAGAACCTTTTTTGAGTGATGATTTATTGAATGCCTTGTGAATCAAGAGGGTTTGTGTCCATCTCTCAGTTCAGCCGACCTATTTTCTTTCTGTCCTCCCTTTCACGTGTCCCTTTATTCCCATGTAGAGGAGGTGAAAAGATTTTGAGAGCACCGCAGGCTGCGATCGTTGAGGCTTCGCTGGTTTCTAATACGTCTAACTATTAGTCAAAGCATATCGGCTTTTGTCAAATATTTTCGCAACAGTCGTCGTGTCCTCTGCCACAAGAGAAATGGCCCGCGAGGTAAAAGAAACGCCGCCTCTCAGTAAGAGGGGGCAGGACGGTTTGAAGGATTTCACGATGCGGCACGTGGCCTCTGTTTGTGCGTGCTGTCATGTTGATTTTCCTCACAACCACAACTGCTGCTGTATCTTGGATAAGGACGAGAAGGAGACTTTTATCAGTCAACGTACCGTCATTTTCATTTTTTGGGGTGTGAAAATGAACTGATGAACTCGCTCAAGTTACTTGTTTTTGTTGTTGTTGTTTTTTTTTTTTTGCAAGGGCTTTGGTACATTTCTCAGATCATAATTGAAATTGCCCAACCATCTTGTTCAATCCTCACATCATCATGTCACTTGCACGCATCAAAAAAAAGCAGTTTCTCATTTTTTCGAACGCGTGCTTTGCTAAGTGTATGCAAGCGATGACGCGCAATTCTTGGCCGTCTCCCAAAATGAAGGTGGACATCTGCACTGATGCATTCCGAAAATATTTGAGCGATTGCCCCAATGTTTGGGGATTTGATGAATATTTCGCCTTTTCTTCTCCGGAGGCGCTCACTCCACAAGCCCGAGGTCACTTCATGAAGAACGTTCAGCAGGTGCAGTGGGCAGAAATGGCCACGTCCAGGTCAATTTTGGTAATTTTCGAACACAGAGTGACATTAAGCTTTTTCTTTCTCTCAACCCGTATTGGGGTTATTGTTTTAATATTTTCAGGGGTTGAAGTGGGCTTGAGTCGAGACGTGCAAATGAAATTGAGTGACGACTGATCCCGCTTCACGGACATGAAGCGTTTGTTTTTTTTGTTTTTTTTCATGAAGCTTTTCAGACGGTCACACGACTCGATTTGTAGTCTGCTTCTGCTGCCCCCGTAATTTGTTCTACTTGTCTTTGACTCGTGAAGCATGACAGCTTGAATCTCAGCAGAACTGACCAACAACGCTTGGTAAGTACCTTCTCAGTAGATTGCGCGGTGCCGAAGAAGATGGGTACAAAGGCCAGCCAGATGATGCAGGTGGTGTACATGGTGAAGCCGATGGGTTTGGCCTCATTGAAGGTCTCGGGAACTCCTCTGCTCTTGATGGCGTACACCGTGCAGGTGATCATCAGAACGATGCTGTAGCTCAGACACAGGATGAGGGACAGATCGGACATGTCGCACTTGAGGACCCCTCGGGCAAACTCGGGATTGGGAGGCTTCTGCTCCTCGTAGTCGATGGTGGTGTGAGGGGGCACCACGCCGAACCAAATGAACACGCCGAGTACCTGGAGAGACGGCGGTGTCATTAGTTGGAGTCCCCCCGACAGTAGATGTTACCGATCTCGGCCAACGTGGCCCGCATCTACCTGCACCGAGATCAGAATGAAGGTGATGATGAGCTGAGAGGTCGGACTGATGAACTTTGGAGGCGTCACCGATTTCTTGCCCTGTTCAAAGATGCGGTAGATCCGGTTGGTTTTGGTCAGCATGGCGGCGTAGCTGATGCACATTCCGAGCCCCAGAAGCAGCCTGCGGAAGGCGCAAACCGCCACGCTGGGCTCGGCGATCATGAGGAAGGTGATCAGGTAAATGAGGAAGATGCCCGTCAGCAGCACGTAGCTGAGCTCCCTGCCGGAGGCTCGGACGATCGGCGTGTCGTTGAAGCGGACGAAAGTGCCGATGACGCCCGTGGTGGCCAGGATGCCCAGGATGGCCAGGAAGACGGGGATGATGGCCCAGGGAGAACTCCACTCCAACTTGATGATGGGCGTGGGCCGGCACCCGGTACGGTTTCTCAGGGGTCTCATGTCGAACGGGCACATGTCACAGCTGAACTCGTCCAGGAGATACTGGTAGCCGTCGCAGAGCTCACAGTGCCAGCAGCAGGGAACGCCCTTCACCATCTTCTTCCTCTCGCCGGGCTCGCACGGGAAGCTGCACACGGAATCTGGGATCTTGCGCTCACCGCCGGACCACTGCATCTCCTCCGGCTAGGAGAGAAGTACGGTTACAGTCTCGGTACCGTCGCGCTCTAACCGCACTCCTTGTGGGGCGCTCGGAACTGCACTTCCAGTCAACAAGTCCAAGACCAAAATGTTCAATTTGCCGCTGTTAACTACACCAGAGGTTGTCCAGTAGAGACACAAGCCAATGATTTTGTTTTGGCAGAAAGACATCACTGACTTTGAGAGGCTGAATACGGCAGAAAAACAGCTCCAGTCGAACCTCGTCTCAACGTACCGCGTTTACGACGTTTTCACCGCTATAACGTTCACATTTCAAAGTCCCGATTTCACGTAGTTCATTTTCCCGTTTGCTAATTTTGCTGACAGCGAACACCTTTAACTTCATCGTAACGACCAGATTTTACCCACAAAATAGTGGAAAGGCCTTTGTCACGACGAACCGTGGGAAGCGAACTGCCACCGCGACCTTGCTTATAAACAAAATGTACAGAGCGCGATTGCCCTACTGATCGACTCCTCACATTGTTGTACTTCCTGCCGTAATTCACGGAGGCACAGTGAAGTCCTGAGGACAAATCACCGTCGATTCCTCGTAGCACAACAAAGAAATCGATATCTGCGTGGTCATCGATTGCATTTTGGTACTGATCCAGACTACAACTATTCATTCTTGATGGAGATGAGTCTGCTCTGCGCGCCCAACCGGCAAACACGAATCAGTCGTGTCTCTGAATAAAAGCAAATATTTACGTTGAGTCGGAGGTGGTTTGTCCATTGGCCGATGTCTTTATAGCCGGGGTTACTGACATTGGAAAGCTGGTACTGGAAGATGTCATATCGACCGGGTGCGTCTCCATTCTCGTTGAACATCACACCCGTTCCTGCGCTTCCTGTTGGATGGAAAGAGTCTCTTTATAACCTCTACAGTACTGAGATGTCGAAAAAAAAAGCAGCCACATTGGACTGACTCCAGCTAATGCTTGCTTATGTCACTCTTGCGCCATAGTGTGAAAGCTAAGTGCCTGATGCGCTTTAGCGAAGGCTGTCCTGCACTTCAATGGCCTTTCAGTACACTGTGCTCTGGTGCTCGAACGCGATTGGATGTTCCTTCCACTCGCCTGTAGGCGAACAATCAGAAGAGTCCTCCATACAAGTCAAGGTCACCCGCCAAGAAGGGAGCAGTGAATACGCTTTCAACACGACACCTTTTTCCTTCTGCAAAACGGTGATTTTTTTTTTTTTTTTTTTTTTAATGAAAAGCGCTGAACGTGGAGGCAGCCAGAAGGACGTAGTGTGTTCCATTCCCGCTCGATTCATTACCAGACAAATCTCAAGGTCGTCTGACTGTTTTTCTCTCCCCTAAAGTTCCTCAATCCAACCTTGCGGAGAGTCAAATCTTTTTTTTAATGAGCGGCACCACAGAAGAGGGGTCGGAGAAAAGTCAAAGTTAAACTCGTACCGTTGAAATTGACCGAGCGAATGTATTGGAGCAGCATCCGTCCCTCCACGGGGTCCATCTTGTCGCAAACGCCCATGGAGCCGGGACACAGGTCCATGTGCATGCTGTGTAAGGCGTGCGCCATGGCGTACACCGCGTCGATCACAAACTGCACCTTCCCCTCCTGTTCGTACTGGGAGTCTCGACTGATTCTTTCCTCACCTAGGGGAGCGCGGACGTGGCGCGTGAGCAAAAGGAGATTTCGATTCTTCAGCATCTTCGGGACTGTCGAATTTACCTGTACATTTTCTTCTGTCGGTCTCATATTTGATTCCAGGCCGTGTTAGTTTGCACTTGAAGTCGTCCTCCCAAAATTCGGCGAACCAAATGTTTCTCCTGTTGTTTTCCAGAGATCTTGACGTGAAGTACTGGTCAAATCCTGAATCATTTTTGCAAAATTCACAACATGATATTGCTTGTTTCATGACATGACAAACGACGCTCGATGTGAACTTGGAGGCGTCTGTGGTAACAGCGTGAATTTTGTTGCTTCAATGTCAGACGGCATGAGATACCGTAATATGCCGAATGCTATTTCCACCATTGGGTTTTAGCGCCAGTCGATATTCAATTGCTCCATTGCACCTACCGTCAATCGAGGCTCTTTTGGGCAAGATCGTGACGGCGCCCTCCGCCACCTCCTCCTGGTCTTGGATGGGGGAGTTCTTGGCCCCCCAGCTGTCGGAGCCAACAAATAGAAAGTGGCCGGTCAGATTGGCCTTCTTAGCGGCTTGCAACACTCGCCTGGAAGGAAACAGAGTCCAATCAATTTCTAAGCCGTTCCTCAGTTTAAAGGACAGAGAGGGGAGCGGGCAGGATGCATGAAAAGTATTCACATATATTGCTCAGTTTAAAAGAACTGTGCAGGAATCTTTGGCAATCGCCGTATCGTTCACAGCATTTCTTCAAAATGCAAACGGTCCGTTTTTGCCGACACGTTAACATCCACGCGGTCTTTTGCTGCGAAAACGGGCATCCACTCACTTGATGTCGTCCTCGTTGGCAAAGATGATGACGCCGCGAGCGTTCGACGTCTCCATCAGTCTCTTGATGATCTTTTCAAACTCCCCAGGTCTGGGCTCTCGAGGAATTTTTATGGACTGTGCGATACACAGCCCCCCTGGGGCGCACACATACAACATGTAAGAATCACACTTTTTGGTTTTCGCCTGCCTCTGAATCATGTAATACCTAACTGGCTATAAAAAATAAAACTACGCACAGAAAGTAAGTTCATCTTTCACCGCTTCGCTGTTTCACAGGTTTTTTTCGTGCTGTTTTTTTTTTTTGTGCGATACACAGCCCCCCTGGGGCGCACACATACAACATGTAAGAATCACACTTTTTGGTTTTCGCCTGCCTCTGAATCATGTAATACCTAACTGGCTATAAAAAATAAAACTACGCACAGAAAGTAAGTTCCTCTTTCACCGCTTCACTGTTTCACAGGTTTTTTTCGTGCTGTTTTTTTGTTTTTGTTTTTTTTTTTTTTTTAACAGTGCATTGCGTTCTGCATCCTGATTGGCTATGGGGGTTTTGTGATGGAGAAAATTTGGCAAGCTGTACGGCGATGAGGCGCAGAGACTGTTGACAGGCATCATGAACCCTGACAACATCTGAAGAGTTGGAAACTTTACCCTGTGTGCTGGGTATTCAATTAATATCAATGTGACTGTAGTGTAGACTTAAAAGAAAAAATAAAAGAAAAACCTGCTTCTCTGGATATTTGGAGGAAAGCATCAACTCCGCTCTCTCCGTAGTTGCCTTCTGACGCTAGTGTTGAGACGTAGTTCCAGCCCATGGCTTTAACGATGTCCACCATGGCCTGGGCCTGGTAAGAATCAGGAGGTACCACACGGGAAAAGAACTCGTATCGACTATTGTCGCTCAGCTCCGGCGCAGTGGAGGCGTAGCTGATTTGGGGGATCTGAAACCACACCACAAATTGATTAATGGCCATGAAAAACAGGAGATAAATGAGGGGCTGATAACCTCGTTTTCAAAGGGATACCCCACGGTTCCATTTTAGAACCACTCTTCTTCTCTCGATGCATATTTTACACCACTTTGTCGCTGTCTTGAAGAAATGATCTTGGTTTGAGTGGGTGCCCCTTCCTCGTGAAAACGAGCTACTCTTCAACCCGTAAAATATTTTGGATGCCTTTGAGGATTTTTGCCGGTTAACTCAGGATGACATCAAAGTATCCGGTCCATCAATTGACGCGTGTGACGTTTATGCAGAGATCTGACGCGCCGCAGCGGATCAACATCCCAAAAGTGGACTGCCGATGACAGTGTCGGTCTCTCAGTCATTCTCAGAGAGGAGACAACGTTGCCGTGTGATCGGGCCCGGTTTGCCGTGGCTCTGTGGCATCGCGGTGAACTACAAATGGTCAGAAACACAGCCGTCAAAGTATTTGTTTGAAGAGGAAAATAGACGAGAAGATTAATTCAGAGGTGTATGACGTCTTTGATGACATCGTTTATGTGGATCGTTTCACGGGCGACCCAGCTAATGCCGAGCTTAACGGCGCACCCTCGGCAGAGAGAAAGAGAGAAAGGTAGACACAAGGGCTAGAGAAGGGAGAAGAAGAGAGAGCGGAGGGAGAACCATTTCACAGATTATCTGGAAGGATTAGAGGGGTTTTAGTCAAATTACGTGAAGCGCAGAGGGACGGGGAAAAAAAAAGGTTCGCATTTCTCACATGTAAGCCATACAATATATTTAATTCTGGAGTGCAGTTTGCTGCTTTGCGTTTCACCCCATTGCGCTCAAGTCGACTTGAATCCAATCGCTTCCACATGGGCCGGTCTTCCAAATGAAATATTCTTCAAGCACGGTGGCACTTTGGCCCAACAACAATATGGACTCCGATTCCATTCCATCCTATCAGTGAGTTTGGACCCCCGCTGGTGTGTTTGTGTATGAAACACCACCACCACACAGCAATGGTGTTCTCAAAGTGCTCTCAAAATATTTTTCAAATGGTCATGGTTATAATCTGTTCATTAAATTGATTTCTACAATGATTCAGAGGCACTGTTCCATGCCGGCGTCATATTTATGAATGAAATCCGGTGACCAACATTCCAGCATACGCTGGTTAGTCAAAGCTAAAGCAGCGAACAATTTGAACGAAGGCTAATCTGTAGTAACACCGCAGCTCTCTTACCCTTTGTCTCTCACATGGCGTTGCCTCTTTCCAATGACGCCGCAGTCATTCGTTTGCGTCGGGGGGAGTAGGTAATGGGGAGTGGGGAGGGGGCTATGTAAATGAGCCACACTGTTACACCACAGTGGGGTGAAATTCAAAACAGCGAGCTTGCAGTCACATTTTTCGGACAGCTAACAAAAGATGGGCTCGGTTGTTTAACTGCACACTTTATGGAAGGCGAGCAATTCAAATGTCCATTTCTTCCCAGCTCCTAGAAACAGTTTTAATTTGTCAAAGAAAATCAAAGCATCGTACGGCTCTTTTCGAAGACCTCGCGATGTCACTCTGACGTACGACACCAACAATGATGGTTGAATGTGAGCAGTGCGTATCGGATGAGACGGGTCCCGGCCTCCCCTCTGTGTGAGAGCAGATGTTCAGCGGACAGCATCGTGTATGCGAGCCGAGAAGCATGTGTGGTCCAGAGTGCAGCGCATATGGACAGTCGGCAGAAAGACGGCATTTAGCTAAATCTGCTCCTCTGCGGCGAGGCCACAAGTTGCTGTTATCCTGGAAGCAATGTCATCCTCTGGCCCGATGCTCTATTTTCAGCCCAGGGTCCTGAGCTGCTGAGAGGGGCTTAGTGGAGGTTGGGATCTATAATTCTGTAGTTAACATCTGCCCGCTATGCAAGCTGCTGCTCCTCGGCTCCCGGGGAGCAACCTGCTCATAAAGAATGCAAGTGGCCCCCCCCGGCAAGGAGTCGAAATATACTTTACTCTTTTATGCCTCTCAGCCGTGGCTGCTTTGAAATGCTCCGTTTTTTTCACCTTTGAGGTATTTGGAGATTTGCAGCCTTAGCGCGGCGGCGATCCAATGACAACATATGACATCATGTGGAATTTAGACTCGGTGTCCCAACGTCGCGATGAGCAGGTCGTCGATCTTCTGTACTGGCGTTTGTATCTAAGAAGGCTTACCGAGAAGAGGCGAAGCACGTTGGCCACCATGATGGACACGGAGCTGCCGGAGGCCCCGATGACGCCCACCACCCTCTCCGGTTTGGGGATGATGGGAGGCTCCCCGTTGGAGCAGCGCACGTCCGACGTGTCCTTTTGAATGAGGGCTTGGACAAAAGTGAGCGATTGCTCCAAGGCGTAGGTGTCTCTGGAGCAGGTGTCGAGTATTCGGGCTCCCAGCGTGATGTTGGGCAGCAGATCCGGGTCGCCGTTGATCTGGTCCAGGGCGTACAGCATGGCTTCCAAACGGTGGATTCCCTTTTCCCTTTTGATGTCTCCGCAGGGCACCCCCACTGGGCCTCGGGAGTGGACGGGGAACAGCCCCCCGAGGGTGATGTCCCCCTCGATTTTGAGAGATTGGGGCTGGGTGCCCCGTTGGGCCCGCAAACCCGGAAGGGTGCCCAGCGACAGCATCCATAGCACTCGGGACCATTTCCCGAGCCAGCTGCCGTGATGGGATGAGAGGGCTTCCGATGTCATGATGCTGGCCGGCAGAGGGACTTGCAGCGCCGCACCTCCCCTTCTACCTTTGACACCTGCGGGGGTCAGTCACACACACAGAGAGACTTGAAGGCCCAGCCATCATCTCACCAGCGCCACGTGCTCCCCTTTTTTTTTTTGTTGTTGCACTTTTCCAACGTGTGACCTGATCAATTTCATCGCATCTGCCGGATGGCTCATTATTTCCTTATACTGTTGATGTAAACAGATTCCCCGGACACTTGACTAGTTTCACTGATGCAGTCTGCTGAGATCCAAAACTTGATCAAGCAGCAACATCATTTTTTTTTTCTGTTTTTATCTCCATCGACACTGCCAGAGAGGTAAATCATGGACTAAACATGTTTAATTTCGTTGTCTTTTCTGACAAATACCGACTGCAGTTTTACACCACAATCATAGCAAACATTGTATATTTCAACATATCTCACATTGAATACAATACATTGGGAAGGCATATTTTGAAATGAGGCTCTGACTCTTTTTCATGTACAGAACGAAACTCACAGGTGAGTTTGACAGCAGCTCAGCGCGCTGGCAACATGCGACTTTATCAGTTCGTCTAATTTCACTGTCATTGAATGCGTGAAATCAGTGCAGAACATGCTTTATGAACACGGATATGGAGCCCAGAAGCAGAATTTTCACGATATCTGTCAGACCAGAAAATGTGCAGCTTGCATCCAGCAAGTATACAATGCAGGACGCTTGTCTAAGAGCGCATCGTGGTCAACATTTTACATTTTACAAAACACAACAAATCGATTGAAACATTTCTGCAGTGCAGACCCGAGGTCCAAAAGTAAGCTGACGGCACTTTTTCAAATTGTATTTCTAGTTGAGGGGCACACGAACGTTTTCAGCGGCATCAAATGCAGTTTGCACCCCGGCGTGATGTGTTTCATAAAACAACCGATCCACTTGGCTGAATGCAACAGAGCAGTCAAACACTCATGTGACACCTTTGCAGCATATATGCAGAGCAGAGAGAGGAAGTGGGGGTGGGGGGGGGGGCGCGCCACTCACCTGCCCATTCTTCACCACCTTCTGGACCAGGGTAGATTTTATCCCTCGCACGTGCTCGTACCCATATTCGCTTCAAAGTGGGACTCTATTTCAGAGGCAAGGCTCTCCTGTGCACACCCAAAATAAATCCTTGATCATCTCACTCGCCCAAAGTGACAAGACCGAAAAACGTCTAATTGTGATCCAGCAAACCCCAAATGACTCCTCAGCCTTTAGGCTCGGGTATCATGGCAGAGTCGAGGAAAAAGTGTGGGGCAGGAGTTGAGGGAGGTGAGGGGGGGGGCAGAAAAAGTGCAATATCACAGCAGTGAGATTCTACAAATCAGCGGCAAATCCCTTAAAAGCTCTCTCCTGCTCTCGCTCGTTCTTTTCCTTGTGCGCTCATCTGTGCCCGGGTGCTCCTCCCTCCTCCTGCACTCGCTCGGTCTCTGCGCGCACTAATGGCCACAGATTGGGATTATCATGCAGGCGTCGGTGAAGAAGCCACGAGGTGGACTAGCCCACTTTTTTTTTTTTTTTTTGGCCCCCGCCCATAGCCGAACCAAAAGCAGAACTCTCTCCACCCCCGCTGTGATGGGGACCTGGGTCACTTTGAGAGATTAGATGAGTGATTTGATTCATGCGCTTTCCCACACACTAACATGCTGCGCGCGCACGTACGCACGTTCGCGCTCTTTCTTTCAGCCACCTGTCAAGAAGAGCAGAATGGGAAAGAAAAGCAAGTCGATTCTGGCTACGGTGGAAGTCCTGAAGTTGATCACCTCAAAAATGTCCTATTATGGAGGACCGAGGTTGACACTTTGGCCACTCTTCTCATAGGCGGGCGCCTCTGCATCCTGGCACGAATGCTGGCGAATCCTGGTTTGGTATCGGCGCAAGGCGGCGTGTTTGCCAATTTGGCAGAGCGCTTTCCGCCAAGCTGGCACAACAGGAGCGTCTTGGCCACACGTCTGGCACTGTGACAATTTGGGGGCAGAAAGTCCATTTAACCAGGGGTGGGCAAATCAGGACCTCGAGGGCCTCTGTCCTGCACGCTATCAATGCCCCCCCCCCCCTCCAATATTCCTGATTCAGAATGATCAGGATCGTGAGCGGGTTCCTGAGGACCTTGCTGATGAGCTGATCAATTGCATCTGGTGCGCTGGAGACAAGAATATGTCGAAGTGGCCAAAATTATATTGTATTTGTTCGCAACGTAGGATGCACTCCTCATTTAATCCGGTGCGTTTTCTGGCTTTTGCAAGTGTAATGTGTGCAAGCACATTTCTTGGCTGTGGGTAATGGGGTCTAGCACAGGACAGAGTTCTATACCTTAAACCCGTCGCCAGCCAATTATAGGGCAAATATACATCCCTCCTCCAACCCCCCCCCCAAAAAAAAACAGCCAGTTTCGAATATTAAAATGTGGCACAATTTAGTGATTGACTATGGCAATGGTTCTCCAACTTTTTAATTCAAGGAGCACCTAAAAAAACAACACAAGTACCATCATCATGACCAACATTAAAATACAGCAGCATAGCAGGCCTAAGTGTTCATCAAACATGAGACAGCGGCTTTATTCCTAAAAAGACTACACTGCAGGAAAGGGGGGCACAGCAACTCCTTTGGGGAAACGTTTTCAACGTGGAATACAACTGAAGCGTACAACTGAAATCTATAGGGAGCCCATGCATTTTGAAGATCGCTGAACTACGACATGGCGTCAAAATACATGCCCGCGTTTTACCATACATCCTGTTTTTCTGTTTTGTTTGTTATTATTAATAATAATTATTTATGGCCTACTACGGTGTTAGATGTCCTTGACGGCACAAACTTGCCCCCGTAATGCCCAGAAAAATGCATCACAAACTACCCCAAGAAGACCGACTTCTCCAGGCCATCTTCCGCTTTTGTATACTCCAGGTGAGATTTGAAAAACTGGCTTTTGTACTGCGGACTGTTCCGGATGTACTCCAGGTAGTCTGGCGCGCCGGGGCAGACGACGTTATCGGCCAGGAGGACGCTCCCTTTCTTGAGGAGGCCGCACTCCTGATGAAACGGGGTCAAAGTCGGTGTCATGCAGGGTGCCAACATCAAAACGCCATCGGTAGAAAATGACCTGCCTCCATCAGCTTGGTGTCGAGAAGATAACGATTCTTCCAGTGGTCCAAGAAAACCAAATCAAATGTTTTTACTCCAAACTGCTCCTTCATCTTGGGGATCCACTCACCGGATTCTCCTTCAACTAACCGCACCTGCCGAAAGAAACACACACACACACACACACACACACACACACACACACACACACACACACACACACACACACACACACACACACACTCACACACACACACACACACACACACACACACACACACACACACACGACTCGAACTGCTCTTGTCAGTTGCTTTTAAAGCAGAAGCTTTTACCTTCTCAGCAACACCTGCCCATGCAATGACTTGCCGAGCGACAGCAGCATTGTCGGGATTAAATTCAAGTGTGATGAGCTGTGCGTGAGGCGGCAGCAAACTGGCGATGCGAACTGTGGAGTAGCCACAGTAGGTGCCCAGCTCCAGCACACAACCCGGATTGGTCTCAGACACCACAGAGTCAAGAATTTCACCTATGACAAATGTGTTTAAAAAAAAAAAAGTAGAACTGAGTTAGATAAGAGAGCGCTTGCACATATGCATGTAAACAGCCACGAGCAGTGGGAAGCAACTAAATATTTCATTGGTTCTACGTGAGTTGCCTTCTCAAGTGTCTTTACTTGATGATGTCTTTTCTGATGACTTTTTACTTTAGAAGAGGAGAAGTTATATCAGAAGTTTTATTATTATCTTTGTTTATTTTAAGACAGTATATTTACTTCTACTTAATTACAGAGTGTGGGTATTTTTGCCTATTTGCCACTCACTACCTTTCTCGTTGCCGACATTCATGGCCCACTCGTTTTGGTTGCAGAATTCATCGATGGCTTTGACCACGCTGCGAGGGTTCCCTCTTGTGGCCTTTTTATGTACTGCAGCCAGGAGCCTCTGAAAGCGAATTCAAACACATTAAGGACAGTTACGATCGAATAGGAATCAAATAGAGTAACGGACCGATGTACTTAAACTATGGTCGATAAACCCCCCCCCCTCCTAAAAAACAAACAAACAGAAAAACAATCTGATTTTTTTTCAAGATGGCGCCCGCTGAGCGGCTGCCTCTCCAGCAGCGCATATCCCTCCCTGTTTGAGTTTCTTTTCGTCCTTTTATTTCATTTATTTCTTCTTCCCACTTTGTGCAAATTTCTCCGTTGTGGGACAAATAAAGGTTTTCTTATCTTATCTTTGCTGTCAAGTAGAGGGAGAGCAATGCATGGATATTTGTGTGTCTGTTTATATCGTATTGGGCAAATCAAGCAGCCACTGAGCAGGTACATGACATAATGCAGCTGGGCTAACTAACTCTTCGGCATCAGCCTAGAAAATTAATAATATGACACCATGCTCAGGTGAAAGCTATCTTCTCTTTGAATAAACAGGTGAAGCCTGCTTAGATGGGACAACCAGAAGAATCCAGTTGGTGCATAGCTACACGCAAGTGTTCTCCACTTGGAGGACGACACGACAGTTGGGGTGAGGATGGCGGCCCAGTGAAGTCACACCTGAGGACGTGTGGACTGTGTCAGCGTGTCCAGTATCCACTCCACGATGACGTCGTGCCAAATGAGCGCCAGACCTCCGTGATACTGCACAGCGCCGGGGATCACCCACTTATACAGAGTATAGAGGAGCACCGCTCCGCCGGTGGCGTAACCGACAACCCACCACATCCTACAGCCAACAAGGAGAAAGGACAAAGGTCATTTCGGCAGGATCGAGACTGCGCTATTGCATATGAGCTCAATCACACGGGCGCACTGTGATCACACATCTGCATTGAGATAAAAGGAAGCTCTCGTATCTCCTTTCGCCCCGGCGCTCCCTTTGTACGAGGCTAATGAGATGGGTGTTTACTATGCGGTGATGCTGTTGTCTCCCCTGAATATCATTCTGCCGCGCACAGTGCGATGGATATCATTTAATATCAACTGCAATAAGAAAAGAGTGCACATAGACCCTGTGGTGCATTTTTTACCAAGCAGGGAAAATATGTCAACTTGGACAAAAGGGCGTGGATTAGACGTCAAGCAAAATCCCAAGGCCATGTTTAGCTCCTTTTGGGAGAATGTAGTGCAGACATGGCAGGCAACGGCCGCTATGCCAACTCTGAAAGAGCAGCCACGGTTGAGCTAATTCCTTTTGATAAGAGGTTTGAGTTGCATGGCAACTGGCTGCGGGTTAGGAGCTGTGTCACAAAAAGGCGGACGACGAGGACTTCAACCTTTACTTGTGCACACCGCCTCCTTGTAATGTGCCGATAGAATAAGAAATTTCCCTTGTACGCGCATGCAGAAACATAAGGGGATGGCTTGAAACATGCCAACGTGAATATAAGCAGCGTACACCGAAAGGACCCACAAGTAAATAACAGAAATCTACACTATCGGTGCTGTCGCAATTTATTTATTTTTTTTACATGCAAACGACTTAACAGTCTGACAGGAGCCAGTGTTCGAGCACTAATAAAGCCAGCCATGATGTTCACTCTCTAACAAAGATTCACACCTGTTGAAGGCAAAACTCTCAGCATTGAAGCCAACAGGAAGTCATACTCACGTTTGGGAATGTAAAAGCCCGTGTCTCCTCACTGCTGGAGGCACAACTCGCAGAAGTCAGTCGCGCTGAGAGATGTCGACATCCACCTGCTTTCACATTTGACTGCGCGCTCCGCTTCTATGCGCTCACCTCTCTTGAGCGCAGCTTAATGTGAGCAAGCAAGGAATGCAGCTAAGAGCATATTTCACTGCGTTGCTCGGCCGGCACACAAACTCACACTGAGCTCCTCCTCCTCAGCACAAACGGATTTATTTGGTGAGGCTGAGTGAGCGGTGTCACTTGGTTTGGATACAAAATGCCAGACAGTTCGATGTGTATCACACAGGTGGTCTTCTGTTACTTTATGGATGTTCTGTACAACTGCAGTCAAACTACAAAGCCCTTTTTAAGTCATAGAAAACAAACTTGAGTTTGGTCATTCTGTCTGCATCCGGGGGGACCGCCATGAATACGCAAACAGCCTGAGAGGGAGAAAAAAAAAAAGGGGGCACAAAGCTTTGCAAATGATGCCAGCACCACACTGAGAGCCGCGGACGAGTTAGCTTGCGATCCACGGGTGTTTCAGACATTGAGCCGCTGTGGCTCGTTTGTCAGGCTGAAGATGCAACATGGTCAAAAGGAACGAGCTGAACTGCGCTGCTTCGTCCTGCGGCCACTGGTACTTGTCCAACAGAATTTCCAACAGGCTCCACGGCTTCAGCTTTGAGATGCGCCTCAGTTGTCCTGGATGGGAGTTGACAACCGAGTCATTAGTTCACCCAGAATCGGGACGGGTTCCACCTGGAAAAACTCAAGAAGTGGCACAACTCAACTCAAATTTCTAATCTACCCGCTGCATGTGACTCAGGGGAAGAAGTGACCTACTCAAAGAAAGAAATAAAATGAAGTCAACATTGGCTAATACATCACAGCACAACACAGCGGTCCCAACATATCAGTACAACATGGCGCCGACACGTGTGGCAGCCTCGGTTACGCGCTACCTAGTATTACATGTATCTTTGTTTTTGTGAGTTTCATTCGTTTTTGGCAACCCTACGCGACTTACTTACACGAGGGAAGAGTTGCTTAGCATTAGGGAGTTGACCCTCTGACTTTTTTCACCAGCTGTAGCCCAATACGCCAAAGCAACGGGGGCCTTCACTTCACTTTTCTACATCACAAAAATTGGAGCCACCCCGTGGCGCCCCTGCAGACTAAACACGCCCACTTCCTCAGGGCAACACTTTCATCTTTGCGCCATTCTCATTGTTGCTCATTAGTGTATACTGAGATGCCATACTGTACCGTTTTGGTTGAAGAATCTTTTGGATTTTTTCCCTGAGAGGGCAAACTTGGATGGGAGAGGCCCCAGCAACTCGATAATGTGCGCAATGTGATCTAAAATGACAAGCAAAAGAACAACATCAAGTATTAGCTTTCGTTATATTGAATAACAATGAGCAATATTCCGAATACAATCATGATTATCTCAAAGCAAAGACACCCGACCTTCTTCGCGGGAGAACGTGGTCCCTGACTGAGGGTCAAACAGATAGTCCCCAGTTGCGAGCTCAAAAGCCTACAAGTACACACAAAAAGACACACCGGTGTCGGGGGCGGCCCGCGGTCATCTCCACGCACGGCATTTGACTGTGAAATGTTGTTGGCGCCCTTCTCACCATGCAGGCAGTGCTCCAGATGTCAGCCGGGGTGCTGTAGTCAGCACCGATCAAGACCTCCACAGAGCGGTACTGACATGTCTGGATGTCTTCCGTGAAGTGCTTGGACTGCACGAGCGTACGGACAGCACAAGAGACCACAGAAAACCACAATTTTGCATCATTTTCAAGGTTCCTTCTTAATTTGTGTGTGTGTGTGGTTTTCCTTGGCCAGTTAGGCATTTTAAACCAAGGGTGTTTGCCAAAACTTTGTCAACTATGAGACTGTGAAAACCGTCAAGCCTGCTTTGTGATTAAAGGCTATCCCAATCAACTTATGATGTCGGATATCGCCAAAACATCAAACTTTTTTCTCTGGTTCTTGTGCCACTCACCACCCAGCAAGCATTGCCCAGATCCGCGATCTTAATGAACAGCTTGTCCGCATTATGTGGCAGCAGGAGGTCAAGCGGCCCCTCACACTCACTGATTCCTTCTGAAAAAATAAATAAACAAATAAATAAATGAAGTCATGACGTGACTCATTACATCAACTTTGAGAGGGCCGCTCTGTTGTTGTTTTTAATCTGAATTCATGTTATAGAACTTTGTCCTTGTGGGGTTACATTTACCCCCGACAAGCCTGGTCTGTTAATTTACCAATGCTACAATAATAATAATAATAATAATAATAATTCGGCTCAATAGTCTTATTCTGTAACAACTAATCAGGCGCAACCAGGGTTGTTGTTTATTATTTTAAAGTGTCCAAACTGCCCTGCATCACCGAAAGCTTTTGCCAATGTTTTTCCTGTTGTGCAGCTCAATGAGGAAAGCATTCTGTAGTGTTAGCATAGCATAAGGAAAATAAGAGCGGTCGTCATCAAACTGAAATGCCAAGACTCACGTCTCGTTAAACGCGATCTTCACATACAAGTACTGTACGGTACAATGCAATGAAAATACGCCCCCTTGTGGTCCTGGGCAGATATCGCACTTGCTCAGAATCTGCGCAGGGGAGCGTCATTCTCCATAATCGTGTTATTGAATTTGGTCTGTTTCGGTTTTGCGTTTAGGTTTTCACACGAAAGTTTTTTTTCCGACATTTTTTTTCGTCTGTGATCATGTGGCTGGAATCATCTTTTCAAGACTCTCAAACACTGACCGTGAGGGGAGGATTGTGTGTCTGGCGTCTGGTGTAAAAACGGAGATGCGGATGCAGAAAAGGGAGCTTCTTTGGCGATGTCTGGCAACGAAGAGGTGAAGCCTCGGTGACTGAGCACGGGCGAGTGCAGCCTGTCGGACAACAGCAAGGTCCGTCTCCTTAATGCGACGTCAGAACTCGGAAGCAATGATTGACAGGTGGCGCTATTGGCGCAGGTAACATCCGAAAGGGCGTCATTGGATTGATTTTGACTGGAGTCCGATGTAGTCGCTTTGGCTCGCTGCTTCCTCGGCGTCCACGTCAGTCGTTTTAGGTGCAATTTTGAAGCCTTGCTTGACTGCAGAGGGAAGACACATCACACACTCGCAAGAGATCATTTAGACTAATGTTGCGTTAGCGCAAAGGAGACATGTTTCGAGTCCCCAGGTATCTTAATCAAAGGAGAGGCAATGGCAATTGAAAAACACAACCTAAGGCTTACCCTATTCCCAATGTTGTGGAAAACGCCGGTCAGCCTTCCCATTAAGCTGGACAAACTCTGAGGAGATTTGAAAGAAATCTCAATTTGTGAGTCATGCAACAGCACATCGGTTACCAACGTACAAATGTTAAATAAGTGTGACAATTTACGCACCTTTTTTGGTTTGGCCATTGAGCTTTCTGGAGAGGAAATATAAAACATAACCAATAAATAAATAAATGATGCAGTTTGGTGGCTTATACAGTCATGATCCTGTGGTGGCAGTCAAATTTTGAGAGCATCGTCACTAACTTGGCTCGTTGGTGGATGCGGCGGAATCCGGCAGTTGCCACAGTTTGGTGTCGGCTGCCAGTTTGTGAACATAAACGTCGTCCACCCGCAGGAGGATGTTCTCGGGCTTGATGTCCGTGTGGATGATCTTGCACTTTGTGTGCAAGTATTCCAAACCTCGCAGAACCTACGGACCGGAGAGCGAAGTCTTCCAGAAATAGAGCATGCGCGCATTTTGCAAATCTGGAGAAAGTCACCTGTCTGACGATGCTTTTGACACAAGGGAGTGGAAGACCGGCGTAGTTGGATTTGATGATCCACCTGAGGAGCTGGTGGCCCAGCACCTCCAGGACCATGCACACATCTGGGGAGCAATTAAGGACACGGTTGGAGTGCATACCGTCTTTTCCATTTACGTATTGGGCCAGTGAGGTAGGATACGCTCTCCGTTCACTCCGGCGATCCGGAAGTCATCGATGAGGTGCACAATCGTCTCACGATTCGGATCTCTGGGGTCTCTGTCCCTCACCTGGTGGCCAAAAACATGCTCAACTCCAGCAAATATCGACTGAAGCAATACGGCGAGTGAGCTCACGGACACATTTCAGAAGTTTGATCTCATCCTTTGCTGTCTCTGTATACATCGGAGCACTCTTCACCACCTTGAGAGCGACAAAACGCCTTCTCCTGCATAAAAAATAAGATTCAATGTGAGACACGTGAATCGTGCTCTGTTTCCTTTCTGCGTGTGGCCAAGGAGAGCTATCTCTTTTTGTCGGAACATGGAAAAATGGTTACGCTTCAGTGAGAAAATGTTAAACGACCCTCAGCTCACAGCTCATTTGCTGAAGTTTCCAGTTTGTCATATTTCCCATCCTAACTTTGCACGGAAATATATTTGAAACGTTCCATACATCTTGCTACCCTATGGAAATCCATACTCACACCATGTCCCAGCAGAGCCACACAGTCGAAAAGTGACCCCATCCCAGCTTTTTGACCACCTGGTATCGGTTCTCCAAAATCTCTCCGATTTCTACAGGATAATAACCGCCTGCAACACAACATGTCTTGTGAATCAAAATCAAAGGTCTGGCCAAGGTAGTGTAGGTTCGGTGCTGGCGTGCTCTCGACCTATCCCATAATCTGCCGGGTTCTCCTCTTGGTCATATGTCCCCGCGGGCTCAGGCGGGGCAAGATGTGCTTGGACTGGAGGACGGTGTGGAGGAGGTGGGCTGGCCGAGGGCATCGATTTGGGACTCGCAGTTGGGGCTGAGGGCTCGGGGGCGGAAAGAGTGCTTGGTTGGGGAGGCTGATCGGCGGAGGTGGCGGTGACGAGGGCTGAGAGAGCGGCAGCATAGGTTGAGGACATTTTTAACGGGAGCCTGCTGAGTTCAGAGGACAGCACCACTCAGTGAGCGGTCAAATACAACATGGGCATCATCAGGATTCTCAGCAAGTCACTGAAGTCCAGATTTCTTTCTCCCACTTTACAATAAGCGTGCACTTATTAAGTTCTAAGTACAGTAATTGTTTCAACGTGCTTGAAGTCATTCATCACCTTTTTCTATCTGGGAGACAGACCTCTGTGTGTGGGTCGTTCTGAGTCCTGCCCTGACCCGCTGTCTTATGGGCTTCCGCAGGGGTCACTTTTAGGCCCCCTGCTTTTCTCTTTTTATTTGCCACACTTGCGCTCCAGATGGAGGAAGCGAGGAATTGCCTTCCATTGCTTTGCTGTGGACAGTTACATTGATGTGGCACTAAAGTTACCTCTCCTTAGAATCACTGATATTCCCTGAGGACATCAAAAACTGAAGGGTTTTTGAACTTTTTCAATTACAACCAAGGGAAAACAGAAATGATGGGGTATGGTCCTGGTTGGTCGTTCTTTGGTTCTTTTAGATTAGTGCACTGAAGTAATCTCAAGTGGTACGTGTTTCAGAATGTTTGTTACTCGAGGTAGCGTGTTTGTGTCACCGGTTGTGTCGCCCTGTTTGTAGTGACATTTCCGAGGAGCCATTCAGTGAATGCTCATGTGTATTTTTAGCCAGACAAATCGCAATTCAAGCTTCGGACTGAAACCAAACTGTTCCCACTATTACATGTAATGTTTAAGACCAGTTGTGACTTTTGGTTGTTTATAAAACGATACTCAGAAGACAAGCATGGAAAATAGATCTGACATGCAGAACAGATTGCTCAGTCCACAGGCTGTAAGGGTGGGGGGGGGGGGATACATCGTAAGAAGGAATTTGCACGAGGTCAGCCGTTCGCAGTGGGTCAGCTTCATGTGCTCTGCCCCTCTCTCTCTGGTGGGACTGCCAACACTCAGTCCAGGAATAGCCAAGGCACTTGACGTGCTTTCGTGCCGTCTTCCGGCACGGCTGCTGCTGCTACAACGCCACACTGCGCTCAGAAATCGATACTGGACACAGCATTAGGTAGGCCTGCACACGAGTCATGCAATATCACAGCACACACCCGCTGCGCACGCAAACATCGTCTTTTCAAAAATAGCAAAACAGTTGATTGCAACATGAAACTTTATTTTAGTAGAATGAATGCACAATTCCATACATACAGGTACATACAGTATAGGGAAGGCCTATTGAGCCTGATTTCATAGACCTGTTAAATGAAGGGAGACGGAACAGTGGTATTTCAATATACTGTATTAAAAGAGAAAGAGACTCCAATATTAGCAAGTCACACTGCTGAATATCATGGTTCTAACACATTAATTCCCACACTGACCGATGAGAACAAGCTACAGTAGATTGCTACAAAGTCTTCAAGTTTATGAATATACTATTGGTAAAATTTGATTTGGAGCTAAAGTCATCGCATTTCTTCTTGACTCTAAGAAAAATACATTTCGACTCCCAGTGCACAGACATTTGGTCTTTTCAGAAAACTGTATAGCTGAGTATGTTAGAACATTAAATCCACACGGTGCTACAGTTTGGACCGGAGTAGGAAATATTATCAACATACAGTATCAAACAAAGAAATACATTCAAATGAGTCCAAAGATCGTACGTACAACTAAGTAAATACGCCCAAAAATATGCTAAGTTCCGTTTACATGAAATCAATTACAATTTTAGCTGACGCTCACAATTTGATGTCGCAGAATGTTCAGGAGACTTTATTACCAACTAACAAATAGATGGAATGGAATACAAACTATTTTTTTTCTCCAGCTGGCACCAAACTGTGATGTAAAAAAAATAAAAATGAGTACAGTAGTTGAAATGTTAAAATCATTGCATATACAAATCAGCAGAGATCAATTCTCCCACATATAGATGGAATGGAATACAAACTATTTTTTTTCTCCAGCTGACACCAAACTGTGATGTAAAAAAAATAAAAAAAATGAGTACAGTAGTTGAAATGCTAAAATCATTGCATATACAAATCAGCAGAGATCAATTCTCCCACATTTTCTGGCGTGAGACCGGCTCACTCAATCATCCGGAACAACAGCAGCCCTATTCTGTTCATGACAGCAGCCTCAACTTTTTTTTTGTTGTTGTTAACAGAAAATCGAATTCATTAAAAGTGGAAGTGGGGTTTGTAACGTGTGGTTAGTTTAAAAAAAAAATCCTACTTGTTAGTAAGGGAATAAAACATCATCTGGAAAGTCCTCAACACAATCCACACTATTTACAGACTCAAAGAGGCCGATGACGACTGTGAGCGCTACAGCCTGTCATCTCTGATGATGACAAATCAAAGGGAATTTAAGGCTTAAGATGTTCATAAAGTGCTCCGTATGACAGCCACATCCCCTCGAGACTGACGAAAAACAACGCAATTGTTTCTCATACGGTGCGAGTGCTACTGCAGTGCAGGAGCTCTCGCAACAGCCCTCGGGTTTGTTCTTAAACAAATTGAAGCATCGCGTCAACCTGCACAAACAAAGATGCGAAATCAAGAATCAATGACATCGTTCCAAATGGCCCAACTTTTTGTGACATCGCGATCTGCTTCACTGGATTCGATTCAAAACCGAGAGGCTTAATACAAGTGGTACGGATCATTAGAAAGCACTTCAAAGTCATCCAAGCAATGGTTCATTTTGCTCTGTTTAAAACGACGAGGCACTCCCATCTGCTACTCTGGTCAGCTTGAGTTCATGGCCCGTTTCGTACGTCAACATTGACAAATAGGAATGGCTGTCAAATTAATCACAGATGAAGATTGAGGTCTTTTTTTTTTCTCCTTGTAATCGTCCACAAACACACGTTCACTTGCATGTAGTAATGCTTGCAGAACACATGTGGTTAATGAGCAATATATTATCTCTTTAATAGAACTTTTTGATAGCTCAGAAGATACAAAATAGTGTTTTAAGCTCGTACAAAAACTATATGTGGGGAGACTTCTCTCTGTTCGTAGCGAGGAGGATATTGTGAAGGATTCTGGAGGTACGGCTTGACAATATTCTCAGTAAATGCTCACCTCTGTCGGAAGCACTCCTGACAGAGACAATGGAATTGACTCCGACGAGGCTTTTCACGCTGTACGGCTTACCGTCGTTTGTTACGGTCATTTTTCTGCTGAGGTCGCCATGTTTTGTTTCCCTGTTCAAGTCTTTACTTGGGGTCGATGCTTGGTACTTTGGGTTTGCAAAGTGTGTGCGTGTGTGTGTGCGTGTGCGTGTGTGTGTGTGTGTGTGTGTGCGTGTGTGTGTGTGTGTGTGTGTCCCTCTGCTTCAGACAAGGGTGCCCGGGTCTGTGTTGGGCTCCTTCGGGGCCCCTTCTTGCGTCTGCGGGTGAGGAGCCTCCTGATAGAGGGACAGCTCCATCGACCTGTTGGGGAAGCAAAGCAACACACGTGAAAACTCGGCAGGCGGTAGACGGCAAAGACTTCTTTGTCCGTCTCAATCACCGGGGATGAATTTGTTTGAGACCATGAGAGAGTAAGGCAAGCGGCATGTGAGACAGACGCAACCCGCCGCCTCGCGGCGCAAAGGGAGCAGTACTGACCTGCCGTGCAGCGGGTGGCCGTGGAAGCTGATTGACTGGGACATTTGAGGCCTGTGAAGGTTGCCTGCTTCGCCTTGAACAGACTGGGCCTGGAGCGCCAGAGGGTGGGGGTGCGACAGACGTGAAATCCCTGCTTCGTGGCCCTTGGGAGGATATCCAAGGGCGTTCCGAAGGTACCAGTCTCTTAGTCCCTCCAGAGCCAGGGCTTTGTGGAGGCTTCGTGTTGAGTCCTCAGGGGTCGGAAGGGAGAATTGCGGGGGTCTTCGAAGGAAAGCGTGGCCGGACACTTCGGTCTGGTAGGGGAGCAGGTTGGGAATGGAGGATGCGGTGGTCCCGGGGGCGGGAAGGTGCGACTCGTACGCCGACAGCAGGGCGGCATCCTGCTGCAAAGGGATGAAGGGTCCACAAGATTTGGTTCTGGTGACCTTGACCCTGCGCATGTCGGCTTGAGCGCCTCGGCCGACCACGGGGCTGTAAGGAGGGGCGGCGCTCGGCAGATGCACCTGGGAATGGGAGAAACCGTTCGCGTGGGGAGCGACTCCTCCGCTGGAGGAGCAGTGAGAGGGCAGGTCCTGCCACATCCTGCCCGGGGACTGGAAGAGGTTGTGCTGCACTTGCATCCTTTGCTGCTTTCCCCAGATGTAGTCCATCAACAGGTCGTTGTAGCCCACCCCAGCCCCTCGGCCCCCCACGGACAGGCGCATTTTGGCCTGCTCCCCCGACCCGTCCGCATGTTTCTCGGGGCTGCTCGGGTGAACGTGTCGTAGTTTCCCATCCGTCAGCGTTTCCGAGCTCTTGTAGGGCCCCCCTTTCGGGTGCATGCCATTTCGCGGTGCCGGATCGTCCGGGAGGCTGGACCGATCCAGCAGGGCCTCCGAGCTGTTACTGCGTCTGGCTTTGGAGTTGTAAAGGCCGCTTCGACGGTCCGAAGCGGAGCCCTCCTGGGCCAGCGGGATCATGTAGGGCACATCCAGACTGCCGGACCACTGTTTCAACCCGTTGCTCCCTGACACGTCGGACCTACAATCAGGAAATGGGGAGCGGGGGGTGGGGGGAGGGCGGGAAATAAGGTGGCAATAAAGCCGCAATTAGCAGCCTCCAAATGCTCATCAAACTTTGGCGCCATGCTCTGCAGTTTCCCAATTCAGCGTTGCCCATCTATTTAGGATGATGACCTTTTCAGATTAGGGCTCATTTGGGGCAATTCTTCATGAGTATGAGTGTGAGGATGTCATGTTCCGGACCAAAAAAAAAAAAAAAACATTTTACTGTAAATTCACCAGGATTTGCAGACTTTCAAAAGAAAAGGTTTTGGGCTTGTTGCTGTCCCATTCATCAGAGAACCGATACGGATTGCGCTCATCCCAAGCGGGCCCCCGTCCCACCTGGGACTCAGGGTTGTTAACATGTGAAAAGCGACTCATTGTATTTATGCATTCAATACAAGGCGCTGACCGGAGGGGACCTTTCAGTGAAGCTTATTGTCTTTTACATTTCTATATCTACATTTACATGTCAAGATGACTTTGAAATGGAACCCCCTGTGGTTTAACCCTTGGCTACGGACTTCCTGAAAGACAAAAAAAGGGGTTCGACCCCTGCCGGCCGGCGGCTTGACCGCACTTCTACTTCAATGAACCCGGATGAAAGAAATTTACCTGACGTGAACACTGATTGGTGCGGTCCGGGCCAAGAGCGGCGTAGCTGGAACACTTCTGCCTTCGACGTTCGACGCGCTTCTTGGTAAAGAGTGAGTTGGACTACAAAAGACAAAATCCAAATGAGGATTGTGGAGAACGGTCGAAATTCAAAACGTGGATACCCTCGTTCCAGTTTGCAAACACACATGAGCCCGAGGTTCAAAGTTTGGATGCAACAGGTACCTGACGGAGCTCGTGACGGAATTACGCCGCGTCCTCATTTCGTAGTAAATCTCGACGGGAGAGAGTTTCTTGCAGATCCTGTGGTCGGGGCTGCCCACGCTGAGCCGAGGCTGCGACAGAGAGCGCTGATCGGCAACCACGCCGGGGGAGCACTCTTGGCGCAGGAAATACAAAGTCGGGTCACGAGCACGTGGAATGAAGTCGCCGCAACGTTTGCCATTTCAACCTGCGTCCTCGTCATTTCTCATGGATGGAACAGTTTTCGAAAACCGCTACACTGTTGTGAGGCAAAAATGAGAACATACCATTGTCATGCGACGTTGAATCTGACATGGAGCTCGTACTCTCCGACAGGACGCCGTCCTCTGGAAGACACAGCAGACAAAGACGTGCATGATAAAAAAAATAAAATAAAATAACCAAACCGAAAGCATTCCCTCAACTGGACTTGAATTTAAATTGCACAAATTAAAGAGGAAGTCGGGCCTCGAATTTTCTTCACCATTACGTGTTCTATGCAGCACTACTCGTCTCAACGCGGCATTCAGGTCCGGCGGCGGAGGCGCATCGAACTTATTGTTGTCAAGAAACATTTTGGGTTGACTTCCCCTTGAAAGTATTTTTTTTACCTGTGTGACAGCCCCGGTGAACTGTCCTCTTGCTGTTGGGGAGGTTTCTGTCCGACTCTTTGTGTCTGTACAGGGCGCCGGTCAACATCGCTTTCATCTGCCTTCTCTGGGCGACTTCGTCCTGCGGCCGGGCACAGTCCGAGGCGTTGGAGGACGGCGCAAACGGCGACCGCACCATGACATAACGTCGGAGGTGTTGACTTACTTCTGTCCCGCGGTTGGGAGGAGGCATGCCGGCTCTGCGCTGCACTGTTGGGGGCTTCTCCCCCGTCTCCAGGGGGAACGCTTGCGGCAGCTTCCCCGTCAGCTCCTGCGGAGGAATTCAATTAGCTGAAATCCCTCGTACGGGGGGGGGGGCGACGAGGTCCAAAGATTACAGAACAGGACACCACTTAAGAGATTACTTGAAGTTGTGATAAAACGATCCTTTCAATGCTTCGCCGCCCTGAGTGGTGATGGCAGAACGAATGTTTTGGCCGTAAACGACACCTACGGCGCTAAGAGCCGGCAACACGAAAGGAACTAAAAACAGAGTGCGTGTTCACACCGCAGAGGCCGAGACCGCTGTGGCGTTGTTGCGTCGGGACGGCTACGGATGGATTATGATCAAGTCAAGTACAACGTTATTGTCAAATGCGCTTTATGTTCAACATACAGCACAGATGAAATTTCTTCCCTCTCAACCAGACAACAAGAGGAGCCGCTGCGGGTGCCCGCGGCGCCATCAAAAGAACAGTTTGCATCTTCTTCTTCTCCTTTCAGCACATCCCTATTCAGGGGTCGCCACAGCGAGTCAGTAATTTCCATCCGCCCCTGTAAACCGTCCTACCAACTCGCATGGTCGTCTTGGCAAAAGTTTTACGCCGGATGCCATTCCTGACGCAACCCTCCCCATTTCTCCGGGCTTGGGACCGGCACTGGGGAACAGTGCACCCCCAGGGGAGGGCACTGCCCCCCAGCGGCATCAAAAGAACAGTTTGCATAAAATGACAAAATAATGACGTCCCCACTTTATAATTTGAAGGACAAAAATGGAACGTCAATGCACACATGGTTCCAACGTGATGATGCACCAGTGTGGGTTGTTTAGACAAACAATTATTTTGACCGTCTTTACACGGCACAATTCCAATAATTGTCTCTTTTTATTTTTGTTTATTTTTTTTGTTTGTTTTTTAATTTTTGTTTTTTGTTTATTTAATAATTTGTCTCTTCTTCTAATTATGGCATTTTTATTTGTTTTTATTTTTTTATAATTTGTCTCTTCTTCTAATTATGGCAATGGATTAAAAAAAACATAATTATGAATTACATTGAATTCATTTTAAATATAATGGGATACTGTATTTTATCAGGAAGATGTCATTACAGTGACATGACATGCATGACAGTCCAAGTTTAAAAAAAAAAAAAAAAAATCTTGTCGGCAAATCTTGCGGGAGCAACGGTGTCTAATATTTCTGGTGAAATGCCAACGACGATGTGCGGTTCCAAGCTGCACTCGGAGGTCGTACTCACCGCTTCTTGGAAACAAACAAGTTTGAGCTCCTCGACGCGAGTGTGAAGCAGAGCTTCCAGGGCCTGCTTCCTCTCTTGCAGAGCCGCAACCCGCTCGGCCTGCAGCTTGCCGTCGTGGCGCACTTGCGCATCTACACAACACATTTCATACGAGCCAGCTTGAGAACGTCGCAGTTATGAGTGCGCGCTGTGACTTTTTTTTTTTTCCTTCTAAAAATAAAAGCGAGGTCTTGTGTCAAGGTGGGGTGACGATTTGCACCTTCACACTAAGCGTGTATTGCTGGTGCCTGCTTACAGTCTCACACACACACACACACACACACACACACACACACACACACACACACACACACAAAGGTGTGTGTGCGCTGAGAAGATTATCCGACAGCTGTGGTGTCAGAATGTGAGTCAGGGGCCTTGACACATGCAGATGTTGTTTCAGTTGGTCATTCCACTGAGACAAACACTTTTGTTTTCACTCGGTTGGACTGTTAGGGGGGGGGGGAAAACAATAACACGAGCTGAAAATTCCTCCGGCTATCGCAGGCTTGTCTAGACATGAAGGTGTGTTGCGTTTACGCGGGAGTCTTCGGAACTCCTGGCAAGTCATGACTCACCCAGAGCGCCCACCAAACCCATGGATGTAATCAGATGGCCTTTGACCTCCATGCGGTTTAATTGCGGGGTCTCGACGATTCACGCTCCCGGCCGCACCCTCACCTAAGGGACAGGAAACCAGGGTTGAGATCCAAGCCGGAGCCGAAGCCCAGACGGAAGGGCGCCGTTTGGCCCGCTGACCTTGCTGCGTCGGCCATGTGCTGCCCCGAGGCGTCGAGTCCGTGGTCAGCGGGGGGTGACTCTGCGTGTCCCCTTGTTCCGACGTAGCATCGGGAGACAACGCCTCTGCTTCAGAGCTTACAACGGAATCCTTCCAAAGACAAAAGGCGCTACTTCAGATGCACAAGTGTGGACATTTTCACATGATCGCCGGTGCTGGTGAACTCTTTTTAGAGCGGACTAGCAGGCTACTCGCGGGGGTGTTGGGGGCTACCGGACGCCCTGGTTTAGAGTCTTTGATTGGCTGAAGAAGCGTGTTTGGGAATGGGGATCGGCGTTGAACATGCAAACTTGACGCAAAGATGTTCCAGATTCAAACGTGAGGCAGGCAGATGTGGCGACCACAATGCCGCGCTGGCCCCTGTATGAATATATTGGATTGGTGGGGGACACAAAACGAATCATCACCCTCTGTTTTGTGCTTAAGAACTCATTTTGAAAAGAAGCTTGCAAAATTCTCGCGCCCCAAGGCAAAGTGTGAAAGCGGGAGTCTAAAATTACCTCCGTGAATTAATTAACAAGCTATTCATTTGCAAAGAGGAGGTGAAATGAGAGAATATTCATCATGTCTTAGAGACAAATCCCCAAAATAGCAAATGCCAGAAGTGAGAAGGAGGGTCGACGCTACCATTACACATAAACAAATACCTGGACGTTAAGTTTACGCACGAGTCCCTTGAAATGGAGTTCGGTACTCTGGATTTCGTGTCTCAAGGAAAATTGACTTCATTCATGCTTGACAAGACACAAACTGATGACTGTCTGACGTTCACGTGTCTTCACATAACGGAGGGTTCATTACCACCAAAGGCTCCGTCCGAGATATGACATCCCAAAATAGCCTCTGCCCTTTTTCTGCCAAAAGCCTCACTCAACGATCCTCATCACCAGAAACAAGCACCCTGATGTCTCCTGCTCGCCATTCCAAGAAATCATGATGGAATTTTAATTTTCCTTTCAGTCCGCCAATCCGGATGGTCATCGTTGAGGGCCGAGTGAAAAATCAGCCTGCCTTCGAGGTTGCTTCTGCCGCCATCCCATCTTCGAAGGAGAAACGTTTGTCTGTCTTGTGAAAGAAACAGCCGTCCGTCCGGTCTGCAAGCCAGATTGGCTTTTTTTGGGGTCAAGCAAGAAGATGGAGCGTTCCCGTTTGGCTGCTTCAAACAACAGTGATTGAAGTGCGCTTTGTCTGCGCACATAGTTGAAATACTTTGGAGTTTGCACTGGCCTCTGTCCTGGACCTCAGCTAGTAACTCTTGTAACTCAACTCAACTGTATTTCTAGAGCACTTGAAAACTAACACCACTGTCGACAGAGGGCATGAATGTGGAGCAAAATCTACCGGGTCACCAAAAAGTAGAAAGGCAAAGAAAAGAAACATGAAAATCCATGACATGATACACCAACGTGTTGAGTTTTACTTGTCTTGTGACCAATGTGGATCCCAGACTGCAGAAACCTCCTGCTGTGCCCCCCCACCTCCAAAAAGCAACAAACAACTGGCACAGAGAACCCACCCCCACCACTACACACACACACACACACACACACACACACACACACACACACACACACACACACACACACACACATGAGGATGAACAGCACAAAATGTGAGAACATCTGGTGTGCAGATGTATGCAGAGATATATGTACCCCAAAAAAAAAACATGGGACTGCATCACATTCCACGGAGCAGCCTGCGGGTGTGCCGGCAGGAGGGATCAGATAAACTGGGAGCTGCATCAAAGGGAGGGTAGCGAGCGATAAGAACATGCAAATATGAATGCAGGACGATTATGGAACACGCGTTTTGTTTTGCATGGACCGGGGTGAGCGATTGGAGGCGGCTTGTGTGCGGGGCTACGTTGCCTTAAACATGAGCTGCGCGACGCGAGTCAGCTTCCTCTGTGCAGCGTCGCACGAATGCAAATCAACGAGGAGTTTAACATTCAAGTCTGCCAGAGCAAACGCGGAGGCCTGCGATGGAGCTTCGAATCCAGCAGCGTTTTGCTGGAAGTATCGCTTAGCATTAGTGAACAAAGTTAGCTTCTGATAAGATGCACATACTTGATTGCACTGTGAAGTTGTCGACGCGATGCGATGTCCGCGCACCACATATGATGCGGTGTGCGGTATGACCTGCTGGTTGCACAAGTTTAAAAAAAAAAATGGTGTCTTCATTATGGGCGCTTGCATTTTTCCAGCAGACTCTGAGCGCCATCTACAGATTTGCCATTGGCCCAGCAGTACGTGTGGGGGTGGGGTTGGGCCCAGGGGGGGCGGTAGAGTTGCTCACTCGCAAGAGACTAAAATGTGGCTAATTTCAGCATGACCGAAAATAGAGTGTGTATATTGTGCCATAAGTATTGATCCTTTGCATATTTTGACGAAAGCAGGTCACAGACTTCTTATTAAAAGAACTTTTTTTTTTAAATTCAGTCAGCATCCTGTAATATATTCCACAATCCATTCCACAAACTACAATATTGTACAGTCATGTACTGAACGGTGCCAGAAATGGCAGAAGAACAAGCTTCTTTGAGCCTGGCCAATTTTTGTTTTGCTGTGGAGTCGCAGATGGTGTCGTGGGCCACTCGTCTGACTTGTGCGTGTGCAGCGTGGGCTCGGTTCCCGCTCAGTGACAGTGTTTGGATGGCTGGCTGTCTCTACATGTGCCCTGCGGCTGACTGGCAACCAGTTCAGGGGGGGGGGGGTCTGCTCCTTGCCCCAAGTCAGCTGGGATCGGCCCCAGCAACTCTTCAGGATAAGCGCTGTTGGAAATGGATGGATGGATGTTGTTTGTGTTGTTTTTTTCACCAAACAACATATTTGCTGAAGTTCTCGCTTAATGTGAGGGGTGGGGGGGAACATAACATCCACCCATTATTTACAACGGCGAAAAACAGCTTTGAAAACGAGTGCTTTTTAAAAGCTTATTAATGTCAATCTTTCAACTTCATAATATCTGATGAAAAAAGAAGACCATTACGTATGCTCAGCTCTTCTTTTTTTGCCCCAAAATCCCCAAACTTGCTTGAATGAATTTGACGTGACCTTGACCTCAACCCCATCAAACTACAAAAGAGCCTGTAAGTTTATGTTCAACGTCGGTGACATCGGACCTCTTCAGAGTTTTTCCTGGACTCGTGAACAAAACAGAAGAGATGAGGACAAACAGGCTTCTGCTTTTGTCAACATGGTGTTGATGATCAGGGCGACAAACAGGCTTCTGCTTGACGCGCCGGCAACCCCGGTGGCCGTTGTCATCGGAAAGGGGCTCGCATCGTGTTTGTTAGTCCTGTCAACGAAGCGCCGTTAGAGCAGCCGACGTGTAAAGGAGCAGCTGAGACGTGGTCTCGCGCTCACTGTCCACAGGTGAGGCCAGCCGGCCCTCGTGTTGACTGCCGATGTTGACACAGCTGCGGCTGTTGTGAACATACACACGGTAATCAGGCAAGGTTACAGCTTTCCTTTCCCGCAAAGACGAGAGAGAATGTCTCCCTGTCCAATGGTTTCGGGCCACACATGGTGACAAATCATGACAACCTGTCCCAACCGTGGCCCCACATCCTCTCCAACGGGCGGGCTTTGTTTATTTGATAAGCAGCCGACATGTGACTACTTTCGGCACACGCTTGCTACGCGACGACCCGACCGTATCACACACTCGCCATTGTGCTGTGATGGCTACTAAGAGCATCCAATGGCAGACAATTTACGATGTCAATGTGGACATTTTTTGGAGCGCTATGCTTTGAAGTTGCATAAAACACCTGGAAAGTGAAACAAAATCGCGTGCGACCACGTCGGGCGTACCTTGCAGGACCTCTTTTCGGGCGGCATCAAAGCATTCGCTCAAAGGGGCTCAAAGTGGATTGCCCCGGGAAGCTGCAGAGGAGTTTTCCCCTTCTCAGCATAAATGAAGTCCAGGTGTAGAAGGTGGAAAAAAAAAATCTTCAAGTAGCCCCGGATCAACATCTTCCAAGACCTGTCATATCACACCACCTCAACACGCCAACCGGCAATCTTGCCATCTCGGAGGGCCCCCTTGGGGTGCTCGGAAACTAGCACAAGCGCAGTGGAAAAGGGCCGTGAGTGGCGGCATCATCACCTGGATTAGGGTTACCATCTGAACGGACACATTGAAGTTTCTTTTATACTAATTGTCAAACTGCAGCTTGTCTATTTTTTTTGTGCTGCTCGTCCTGTTCAAGGTTGCAGGGAGTTGTTGTCAAAAATGGACCCGGTAAATGGCCGTTCACTTGCGTTGCGCTTTTCTACCTTTGCCATACTCAAAACACTACTTCTGAGGCAGCATCACGGAGAGTACCGGTAACTCGGGGTTCCGTATCTTGCTAAAGGGCACGTTGACGTGGTCACAAGAAGTGAGCGCACCGCCACTGGGGCCATGCCAACCAAATTGACTTGAATTGGCAGCTGCAAGCAAGCAAGCAAGCACGGGCACCTTTAGCTTCACCTGACCAATTCTGACGCAGGATATTTCTCTTCTCATGCCTTGACACGCACCTTTGCACATTTGACAAAATTGCTGCGTGTGAAAAAGATCGAGATCACTCTTCCACCTGGATTCTGCTAAGTCAAGATGGGGGGAGTCATAAAGAAAGGAATGTGGTTCAAACATCAGAGGGGATTATTTCGCTACATGTTCCCTTTGCTCTATAACACCTTGCTGCAAACCCGTGTGTAGTCCAGATTTTGATGTTCTACTGTGTCTCTAGCCTACTTTGTTGATGTCAGGGTTCAAAACTACACGCAGTGTGTTTAGTCACATCCATATGCTTGATCTGATCCAGGAGGAAATGCGGGGGACTTCAGATGCGCTCCGAGAGAGATTTGATTCCCAGAACTCACGAGGCTTATGTTCTTTTTAAAGCAAAAAAAATAAATAAATAAAATAAAAGTGGCCTTAAAGGCTGCCTACATCCAAACCAGATTCCGGAATCTTTACAGTCAGTGTCCTATGGGCGAAATAAAGAGTAATGTCAACCTGGCAAAAAGTACAGCGATCTGGGTCAACATCCACTCACCGTCATGTTTGAGAGCAACACACTAAGAAGTGTAAGAGGGAGTGGCTCAGTACGAAGCAGATGGGTGGACATGAGAACGCAGAGGGAAAACAAACACAGCAGCATGTGTTAAGGCGATCAGGATGAAAGGCTGCAATAAATCAACTAAACCACATTTCTTTGGGAAAGGCGTAACGTCCCATGAGGCAAATACAACGACAGCCGACACAACAGTCGTTACTTTCGAGAGGGGTGTTTTGCAAACACTGCAAAAGGGACACCACCAGAGAATCCCCCTACAGGCATTGACTGACCCTCACAGTCCGTTTTTTTTTTAAACTGGCAGGCATCCCTGTTGGGGAATCTGTTAACGATAGGCCTTCGCACTGCTGCATGGGGGGAAAGCGACAATAGCCTCCATAAAAACGTAGAAACATGTCTTTATGCCTGCATTTCTCTCCACAGCAATTCAGCAACAGGGGGAAAGCATGACACGCATTTGTCCTGTGAGCCTGCGCGCTTTAATTCATGTCGATGCGCTGGCAATCCACGACGTGCTGCCGAAAACGACTCACTCACTCATACAAACACTCACAGTGTCCATGTGTTACCGGGCATAACATTGGTGAAAGATACGTTTAGGTTCAGTCTGTTCTCGTGTACATACAGTGCATTTAAAGTGGTGTCTCAAACGAGTGAGGCTGCATTCACGGACGTGCATCTGCATAGCCGCAGACGACAATATCTCTCTCACACACACACGCACGCACGCACGCACGCACGCGCGTATAGAAAACATCCCCCCCCCCCTCCCCAAATCTTCCCAAATTTTTGCATGTATCGATCTTAAGCTCGAACGCGTCTATTAAATGCGTGTAAGACTTTGGAGAAGAAACCTCTCTTACCGGAGAGCATGACCGATGCCTTGGGAGGTCTCCACGGTCCTCAAGCCGGGAACGGGAATCATCGCGCGCCTCTTCTTCCACGAAGCGAAGCTTTAAGGGGAAGTAGCACGCGTCCGAACCGCCTCGTTCATGAGAGGTCAGCGTCCAACTTGTGATTCCCGCGAGAAGGCTCACCACCGATGCAGGACACCTCTCGGACCCGAACGGCGGGAGTGAGCGGCTGGCATCGCAGCTGAGAGGAGCTGAGCGGAGTGCCGTGACTGGCTGGAGCAACCTCCGGAAATGGGAGCGCTAAGCACCGCCCACATGCAGCACGTCTCCGACCGAATCCAAACGAGGCCTCCTGGCGGTTTCCTTCTCCAAAAAAAATTTGCAAAACTTGTTAAATGTGGCGAAAATCCACGCCGGTAAAAGGAGTTGTACTACATGTCGCGACACACTCCCCAGCCGCAACAAAATTAGGGGCAGCCAGTGGAGAATCTTCCTAGCGTGCCCAACAGATGGCGCTGTTTGACTTCTTTCTCTACTGACCGGTGTTTTCTAACCTTTATTGAGCCAAGGCACATATCGGGAGGGAAAAATCCTCGCAATCAAACCAAAAAAAATGGATATTCAAGTTTATTATGTACATTTTGCCATCTAGCGGAAGAACGTTTAGTTGTTTGGCCAAGTTGCCGCTATTCACTAACAAAAAGGGATAAAGTTATCCCTCAGTTATTGTTCAAGTGTATTACTCTTTCAGCTTTTTTGGGGGGCCCACCTACATTTGTCTGAAATAATTGCTTCACTTCATAGGCGAAATAAGTATGACTGTTATACCATTCCAAAATCTTGCACTCTACTCAGTGGGCATCTGATGCCAATTGAACAACAGTACACTAGAATGAGGAAAACCACAAGCTGTCTTCCTATTCTGGCTGCTGATGGACATCCAGCCCTTTGTTTTCGATCCCGCTTATTCTCATTATGTGAGCTGTCTTTGGGTGAAAGGCCCTGCACACCCTAAACTGGTCACCAGCAAGCCTCATATCGACAGGCAACCATTCACACTAGCAGTCAGACGTCTGGAAGAGTTTTCGATTAACTTAGCATGCAACGTTTTTGAGATAGGAGGAAAATCCACTCATGCCCGGGGAGAACAGCAGACGTGCTAACCACTACTTCAGCGCACTGCCTGCAAGCAAATAAATGAATCGTAGGTTCATTTCGGTTTCTGATGATTCTCCCTCCAGTGGCATGGCACCATCAGCACACAGCTTCCCATCTAAACGGCCTATATTCCACACTGAACAATTGGGCAGTGAGCTCCTCAAGCCTGCCTAGCAACAAGTGTGTGGCGTGACCTGAAAAAATGGATTCTATCACTGCCGCGAGACACACGTAATGTTTTTAAGGGCCTTGCAGGAATAAAAATATGGAGCTCAGTTTTATTTCAATTTAGCCGCTGGAGGATTTTTGCCATTCTGGATTTTGGATCACGGATCAAAAGGATTAACAGAAGGAATAATCTGCCAGAAAAAAATTGTACAATGTGTCTACTCAAGGGCCACGATATTAGGTACACCTTTCCAATGAAATGACAATAGTGCGGTCAAAACATTGCCCCTGGAAAGAACCCCCCCCCCAAAAAAATCACTTTTGAATGACACTTAACATGCCGTGTATGTTTTTGGAATGTGGGAGGAAATTGGAGTACCCAGAGAAAACCCACGCAGGCCTGAGGAGAACATGGGAACGCCACACAGGAAGGCCGGAGCCTGTAATCGAACCCACAGCCACCGCGCCACCCAGTTAAAATTAGTTCATCAAGAAAGTATTCCGACAATATTTGAACTTGGTTCCTTAATGGTTTTTTTTTGTTATTTACCGAACATGTTTCGGTGGAAGTCTTATGCCTTTTTCAGAGTGTCACATGAACAAAAGCTCGTCTGAGATAAAGCAACCAACAAGTTCAATTAATAAGTTCACGCAAGAGCCAGACCGAAGTTTATTCAGTTATTTCCACAATATGGCTTTAGAGCAAACACCGTATGAAACTGACAAGAGAATGATCATTTTATTGCACTAAGCTAAGATATTTTCACATTTTGCATAGCAACATTTGATGAACCAGCAACGCAACTCTTGGTGCCATTTTTCCTTTTTGTAATTGGTGAGGAGATAATAGCTGACAAGACCACTCAAAGAGCTCAGCACCCAAGAAATCAGTGACGAAACCGTTTGGAGCAGCTTCGCTGAACACAACTCACGTTCCACGAAGTTCTCACATTCATTCTGAATCAAAGCAGTTCAAAGGTTGATTATGACTTCTCTTGTGAAATTCAAATTCCTGACATCTGTGTAATCTAGAGCCAATCCAGATGTGACTTTTGTTTAAATGAGAGATCTGGCTAAGGTACCTCAAGATTTGGATCAGCATCATCTTCACAACTAAAACGCGGAGATCATGCAATTTTCATGGAAACATTCTTGCCAGAAAAATTGCCCATGACGAGTAGCTGTATTAAATACTGGAGAAATGAAATTGGCAAATGTAGAAAACCCACATCACCCCTTTAGCTAAGGTGCTAAGTCAAGAAAAAAAAAAAGATTTACAAGGAGTAATTTGTCAAACGTCGCCATTTCACATCACTGGACCGACTGATTACGAAACCATTTTGCAGGCTGTGGTGGCACGACAAATGTGATAAAAGTGGGAGTGGTCATGGGACTTCAATTTGGCCAAGGACAGAAAGCCTGACGGAGAAGATGTGAAGCACGGCGCCTACGTACTGATCCAAGGAAAAGTAGAGCAAGCACACCGCGAGCGAGACGATCAGTCAAAGAGCTTTCGGCGACACCACTCAGCCTTTAATGGAGACAAACGGAAAAACAATTACGGAAAGACATGCGCCCGATGTCCTTGGAATGCCTTTGGTGATGCTTCAATGGAACTATTCCAGTTCAGAGGTCAACCTGGAAAGTGTCAATGTACTGCCAAGAAATACGCGATAGAACAGCGCCCTCTTCCGCCTTGGTCCCACTCCGAGTTCAGCGTCCTCAATTGCAAAGCAACTTACAGTAAAAGCAGACGTCAACGTTTTTCTTCACCAGAAACTCGCACGTCGAGGCCCGCTCCAATGTAATGGGGGCATGGCTGGATAAGGGCTCCTTAGGGGGGAGCCCCTGGCACAGGGCATATTTCTCCAGGCCCAAAAGCAGACTGACCACTTCGGTCGAAGACGTCAACTTTTGTGGGAATTTACGATACAGCGAGTGGGTGGGTAAGAGCGGCTGCTTCTGCACGGTCACCTGATAGAAGCAGCCTGGGTCGATCAGCACAATGGTGTCCGACATATTGGACTGCTTTGAACACTGGACAAGCTGAATCTGCGGGCCCTTGGCCATGACGGCATACCAGAGGATCGGCAGCGAGGTGCAGCGCAAAGAAGTGAGCAGATTCACCAGCTGGTTATCGCTGTCCTCCGCTGCTTCGACGGGATTGGCGGCCAAACTGAAGATCTGTGTGATCTGAGAAGGTGATGAAAGGAGGTCAAAATCAAGCGGGAACAAAGCGGCGGTCCTTTTTATTCAACACTGACCATTGGCAACTCGTGATCCTCCTCTTCAACAGGCCTCGGACAATCTGTCTCAAGCTGAGACTCCACTTCATTCCTTTCATTTTGCTGCTCCTGCAAAAATAAATGACAAGTACTGTTGCGAGTAAAAGGAGGTGAACCCTTTGGAATGACCTGGATTTATGCATAAATTGTCCATAAAATCTGTTCTGATCTTCATCTAAGTCACAACAAGAGAATATGGCCCAAGGTTTGGAACCTTTTCAAATACTGAATGTGCAACAGGGGCTGAACATTTTTGAGAACGGCTGTTAACGGGCATCTGCCATATCATATCCTTGATGAGACATCCGCTCGGTCGTGGGGGGAGACAGATGGAGGTAAATGCTAGCTCACACAAGGAAAGTAAAACGTCAAAACAACACAAAAGTTTTTCACTGCAGCTCCATTTTCTGGGATAATGGACAAGCACTGATTTGACCATCACCTTTTGAGAATGAGAGAGAACTTACTCGAGAGACTTTATTGTTGCTTTGGTGACCGCCTCTTTTTGCCATTTCTTGATCTTCCAAAATTGAACGATTTAACTAGGGAAACAAAGTATTATGTCTTATTATGAGATTTTCCTGGGGTGTCAAAAACATGTTTAAAAAAAAAAAAAAACCCACCCCCCAAAAAAAAACGCATAAAATAATCAAAACCTTTTCATGTTTAAAATATAAGGTGTCCTTTCAAGCTTAGAAATGACTTTTCGCGCACGGGTGTGTGTGTGTGGGGAGGGATCCCATGAACTTTCTGAATCGATGACAAAATCTGTCCACTAACAAGGCTCATAAAAAGATAATAACGGACAAGCACTGATATGACCATCACCTTTTGAGAATGAGCGAGAACTTACTCGAGAGACTTTATTGTTGCTTTGGTGACCGCCTCTTTTTGCCATTTCTTGATCTTCCAAAATTGAACGATTTAACTAGAGAAACAAAAGATTATGTCTTATTATGAAATTTTCCTGCGGTGTCAAAAGCATGTTTAAAAAAAAAAAAAAAATCTGTCAAACCTGTTTTGACTTGTCCATCAAGTTAATGTCGTTTGTGTTACTGCTTGAAGGTTCGGAGCTCCAGCCAATCTAAAAGGAGAACGTATACATTGTCTAAACTTTTACCGAGAAAGGGAATTTCCATTTCAATATTTAAAATCTGTATTTAAGAAGTGGTGATTAAAAAAAAAAAAAAAAAAAAAAAAACTAACGTCTTGGAAGTCGTCGTCTTCATCACTGAAGTCCCAGCAGCCCGGTGGCAATTTACTCCTCTTTAAATTTGTCTTTCGACTGTATGTGTAGTGAGGCCGCGGCCTGCCCGGCAGTGATGGATCATCCGACCTATAAGCACCTTGAGACATCTGGAAGGGGAGCAAGTGCCTCTGTGGAAATAAACCGATCCAATTTTGTCAAATCGGAGCAGTACATCCTCACAGGAAGCAGGCGGCAGGACGACTGGCAGCGCTGTACCATTGCCTGTCTCTGACACTGTCGCAGGCGACACTTCTGCCTCTTTTTGTTGCTGCCGCCAAACTTGGGTTTGTCAACGCAAAAATCGCACGTGCCGCAGTCCTTCCTGCAGAGACACGCGTTGCATTCGCCGCAGGCGCGTCGTTTCCGCTTCCTATGCCACTGAAAATATGGACACACGTACACGTTTCGATTGAGGCAAACTGGAGTGTACTGCAAGAAACGCAAGAGCTCGTCCGGGCAGCATTTGTCTGCTTAACGTTAGAAACGTCAATGACATGAGTTCTGAATAACCAGAGATTTTCCCTTTTTTCCTCACTTTCCCTACGGGCAGGTGCGTAGGGGGCAGAGGAGCTCAGAGAGGTAAGGTGAGGCCAGGCCATTTAATGATTTGAAAACATCAAGTTATTCGAGAGAACTCTAAAACGTAGAGGCAGCCAGGCAAGGGATGCCAGAGTAGGACTGATGTGCTCCCACTCAAGACGTGAGCAGCGGCATTTTGGACCAACTGGAGACACTTCATGGAGGATTGGCTGACTCCAAAGTCAAGTGCGTTACGGTCATCCAGCTGGGATGTGACGAAGGCATAAATGACTGTTTCAAAGTGCTCTTGAGAACAGAGAGGCTTCCCGTCATTCAACGTTAGTCCGAATAATGGAGGAAATTCTTCATTATTGCTTTGACAAGCAACATTTAGGAAAGCAAAACCTAACGGACTCACATCATCATCGTCGTCTGTTGAGTAGTCATCATCGTCGTCAAAGTCCATGTTGGAAGAAAAGTTCTCGTTTTCACTGCTTTTTAGCTCCGGCAGCTACAGGATTAACAACATAAAAAGAACGAATAAATACGTGGGTCATCCCCCCCGTCCCCCATGTAATTTATTTTACACAACTGGAAATAGCACCTGTGAGTCCATCGGTTCCTCCTGCAAAACAGATACACCAGATGCATGAGAACATATTTACAAGAATGGCATGCAGGTAAACTTTATAAAGTACGGTTGAACTACAAAAACAAACAAAAAAAAGCTTTTAATGTATCACAAATTCTGTTAGCATGGAGGATTTCTCCGACAATGCATGAGAACATATTTACAAGAATGGCATGTAGGTAAACTTTATAAAGTAAGGTTGAACTACAAAAACAAACAAAAAAAAAAGCTTTTAATGTATCACAAATTCTGTTAGCATGGAGGATTTCTCCGACCCAGTAACCTGCACTCATCTCAGTGTAAAGTTCCTTCGAGTTTTCACATGACCTACTTCCTTGTCCAAATACTTCTCCACAGCATGCAGTCCACAAAGACAAAACTATCACCTGCAAACTCGCGCTGTCGTCCAGTAATTCGGGAACATCGTTTTCTGGCATGTTTGGAAGGACACTTTCGGTTTCCGAACTCTATCGGAGGGAAAGATCATTTGGATCATTGGGACTTCTTAACAATCATATCAAAGAACTGCTGTGCCCCCATTGTCTTACTTTGCGAATTGGACAGAGGCATTTGCGCATTCTGCAGATGCGTTTTCGGTTCTCTGGACTCTTGCAGTTGGCACACTGGCCGCAGTTGACAGTCATGTGACATCCCACACACTGCCCACAGGGAATCCACTAAAGTTGGTGCAAACAACCCGTGAGAAAAGACATTTGTTATGCCGCTACTCTTTTGTTACTCTGTATACTCTCACCAATGTCACATTTTGTTGTGAGAGGCAGAACATTCGGATGTATTTCCACCGTTTTGTTTGGATGTAGCCATTATACTGAACACATTCTTTTCATTTATTAACTACTTCTATAATGATGAGTTTGCTAAGATGATTATTCAAGAAAGTGTGACAAATGACGGTATTTATAGTCGGTGAGTACAGAGCCAGCCGAAAGCAACAGACACTCGATATCTTGACGCACAGCATGCAAACAGCGTGTTGAAAATACGACATTACCTTCCGCAACCGAATCATCGGATGCTCGATTGTCTTTGAGGCTGGGGAGTTGAAACAGAAGAGTGGAGGGTGAGTCAGCGCTTGAGAATGGGAAGCCTCGCAGCAATTATTTCAAGATATATTTACACTCTTTTCTCATTCTTCTGAATGACTCTTAAAACACACATTCGCTGCCCTACCCCAACACGAAGGACAAGAGGGTCTCTTTCTTTGTCTGTCGTACCACGTGCCAATGAACGACATACCACATTTGGAACACAATCTGTTGAGAAATCGAACAACGCTGAGTTCTTCTGGATTGATGTGGTTCGTGAATGTAGACGCGGTAGCAGCGGTGGCGGGAGCACTAGCTTAATGTCAACACGTTGTTAGCTAGCGTTGAGGAGAAATGGTTGGAATTTCATGCCAAGCACTGAACTCACAATGTTTTATCGTCTGGCCCAGGTTGTCCCTTGATGGAGAGGTGTGGTTTGGATATTGAGGGCAGATGTAATTTAATTTTAATACTAGGTACAACAGGTTCTTTGCTAGCAATTTGGGAAATTGTGTCATTGGAGAGGAAAGATTTGGCCCAATTATTGGACGGGCGCTTGGGGTGAAACTCCGGACTCTCTGCGCTCTCTCCTTTGTCCACCCAGCTGGACTCTGAGGAGGACCGCTCCCGCGTCTTCCTCTGGTGGTTCAGAAAGCAAAAAGTAAGGCAAAAAAAAACTACATTAAAAGACGAATATTATATATATTGAATATTATATAGGGACAATACCTTCCGTCTGCCTCGAGTTTGTTTTATTTCGCCATTATGGAACTTCCCTGCCTTGTAGTCAAAATTTGATATGTCTTGGACTCCCAGAAGCAACGTCATCAGCTCTACTCTGCTTCTCACCCGATAACCTTCAGGACTGTGAATGGGAAAAGTCAATGTAGCTTTTGGCCACCTCCAACCTGCTTTTGGCTATTCCAGTACTAACCCTGAAACATCTGAATATCAGAACAAACAATTTACTTACCCAAGTTACATTCAGTCAAATTTGAGTGGTTTATTCCTCACCATGAGTGGCACCGCTCACAGTTTTAATTTCAGTCAAGATTTTTTTTTTTTAATCGATACGAGTAAATCCCATTTAAGATTAGATAATACAAGAAAAGCTTTATTTGTCTCACAATGGAGAAATTTTCAATTTAGCTTTAGGTCTTTGCTTCAAAAATGGCTTATACTGCTTGATTTGACACTGCTATGTAATTTTGCAACGGGAAAGAAAATGCAGACCTGCTGTTAGGCTTCAAATTAAATGTATTTGACCCTCAGAAGGCAAGTGTGCAATAGCATTTTTTTGAAGTGGTGAAAAAGTTGTTACCTGAGGTAATAGACATCCATTTGTCCAATACTAGAACCAGATTGTCGAATAACCTCTTTGCGTTTCCAACCCTCTCCAAGTTCCGGGAAGTCAAACCACCCCTCATCGGGATGTGTGCGCTTACGTCGAGTTCGGACAATTCTAAAGTAAAGAAAACAAGCGAGGGGGTCATGCCAAAGTATATTCGACTTCGTTAAATAAAATGACAACCCTTAGAAAAAAAAATAAAAATTCAAAACCTGTATCAAATAAAAGACTGCAATAAAGTGCAGCGTGATAAGTCAGGTATTGGATATGGACAAGTTTAGTACACGATTTGCTATTGATGAGAACACATCTCATTTGGCTTTTGGTTAAAATGTTTTAAAGATTCATTTCAGTATATCTACATCTAATTTTGTCAACATTCTGAATTATTTGCATTCTCATAATTATATTACCGGTAAATTTGAAAACCTAGGTACAGCATCACTGCATAATATAATGGAATGAGATCCAAAACATTTATAGGTGAACTTACCTACTGAGTGTTTTATTTGCACTCTCACTGCCTCTTATAGCATGACTCCTTTCACTTTCTCCTGCTAAGCTTTCTTCATCGTCTTCGCCTTGCTCATCATCTTCCAGCGGCTCCAACCAGTCAGTGGGAGGACACCCAACAGGGGGCTTTACTTCCTGTGTCTCATTCTCCTCTCCATGTGCTCCCCCTACTTGATCTGGCATGGAGCTTACTGATGTATCAGGTTTATGTGCTTCCCCTACTTCGCTCGTCTTCTCTGCGCTTTGGCCTACATCTCCGTCCACAGGCTCGTTCCCAGGAGGCTGCAACCCTTTCCCATCCATTGGCGCAAGAGCTTCAACCTAAAACGGTCAGGGCTGTTTTAAAGAGACAACTGAGTTTGTCTATAACAGGTGAGCAGTGTTTTCTTCACACCCATTTTTCATCTTGATCCAGTCCCTTGCCTGTGGACCCTAGAGCTGGTCAGGAGGTTACAAAAAAAAGGTCATAAGTAATCAGCAATTAAGCACATGTACATTAAGTCTATGACCGATCAAATCTAATTTCATACAATGGGATCGGTTCACGCATGATTGAATTCTTAAATAGCAATAGATTGACGTGAAAGCATCACAATATTAGTGGTTATCTTAAATACACTCTCAGGATTTGCTCTTTGTGTTGCGAAATGAAAAAAGATGGGCGGCAAATTTGCCATGAAACACGCTACTGTCACAAAAAATAAAGTCGATTGAAATGAAGGTCCTCCAATTGAAGGTCTAGACTCGGACATAGCCGCTGTTAATCGCTTCAATCGGACATGCCTCTGGACAAATCGAATACAATTTCCGAAACCAACTGGCGCCAGGTAAGCCGGTATTTGAAACGCAGAAGACACAGCATGCTAACGCTAGCACCAAAAAGCTAAAGCTAACTTCACGGTCGCAGTGAAGAAATACCACAATTCTCAATAGCACTCATAGACTTTGTGTGCGACCGAACAATGCGCGTTACTCGGTTCGATGGCTCGGCAGAATCACGAACCTTAAGGATAATATGCTCTACCTAACTGACAGTACAACACCACGATTCCACTGGTCCCTACTGTCGGGTGCTAACCTCGCTACCTAGCTAGTACACAGATGACAACGACGGAAGCTGCGGTAGCACCAAATAGTCGACCAAAGATCACAATCCGCTGCCAGAAAGAACCGCTGGAATTTACCTAGATACATAAGTGGTACTATACATTTAATCGGAAATATATATCGTGTTATAAAACTGCCAGGGGAAGTGCGTAACTACATTATGAGAACTTAATCCAATGTATTTGTTCAGAAACGGAGTACTGTAATTGAAGAAAGCGCAGTGAGGTGAACCCTCACACTGTATTTACATACTCTTCGTCATGGGAACTCAGTCAGCTGTGCTGCCTTCGTGGTTCGATTGGTTGATCGAATTCTAAAGTTTTGACTTCTCTTATTAAAATGATTAGTCACGCTGCTGTAGTTATTTGACAATGTGTATGGAATTATCATTTGACGAACAGTATATATTTTGGTTTGATTTGGCTCCCTGTTATATCCAGGGCCCAAACGATTGATGGAGCACATTAACTTTGTATTTTGACCTATGTATTTTCTATTTTATTTAACTCTTATTTCCGCAGGTAAGTCATTACAGACCAGTTTCTCGCAACAATGCAAAGAAAAAGCAAATACAACACAAAACAAACAAACAAAACATAAAACACAAAAGGTGGCGGCGCAGGTACCGGGTGACAGATGTCACAGCCACACCCGTTACAGTCACTTTATGAGATTGTGTCAATCATGTCGGCCGTTGGACTGGCTAAATAGTAGTGATGCATGTTTGACATTGGGAGCTTTAGTGCACGCTTCAAACTCTGAACTTCACTTCTGTAGAATCACTGCTTCCAATCGCAAGACATATGAGGTGAGAAGCGTTTTTTGCTATGTATATTCAGATCTATTTATGTCGATATTGATTTTGCAGAACAACTTGAGGCAATCTGACCAACAGTTGAAGGTCAAAAGAGGATGGGCGTTGGAACAGGACAATGAGCCAAAACACAGAATCAAATGAACAACAGCTTTATTTAGGGGGTTCGTAACAAAAACAGCACTTATCGACTCGGGAAAATATATATCAATTTGCCACTTTAATTTAATCACTATACAACAAATTAAACAGATATTTCAAACTAGTCAACAATGACCAGTCAGCAGAAGCAGACCATGTCCACTATCTATCCTTGTTACTACGAAGATCTGTGGTCAGAGGATCATGCTGAATGGTTTGGTGCAACATCAACGCGAGCAGCCCAGCCCTGTTGGTCATTGCGGTCCTAACATTGCGCTCTTGTTCAAAGAGCTCGTCCAACTTGTACCACTGTGGGTGCAGAAAAAAACAAAACAAGTTACATGACTTGTGTTGTCTGAATAATGGAGGCCGCCTTCCTTTAAACCATGCAAAGCAATAAATAATGCGCACCACTCTGACTCGCTCCAGGTCCACTTCAGCTCTCCTGAGCTTCTCCCAGTTATAATGTTTGTTACATTTCCGTTTTGAGACCCTGCAATATTCTCCAGTCAACTCAAAGACATTTTTCACCATAGGACACCCGCACACCTCATCCACAGGAACCTGGACACATCAGGAATGAAATGCAGAGGGGGAAGAAAACAAATGCCCCAAAAAGCAGCATGCATCGTATATGACAGAAATCTTGCGCCAACCTTGGGATCCCTTGAATGTTCTGGGCACAAAACCTGAAGCCTCTTGCAGTAAGTTTTGCTTTGGGGATTGTACACATCACAGAAGAGTCTGGTCGCTCTACGAGGACAAAAAACCAACAGCAAAAAATTGTCAAGCAACTGAAATGAGAGAAAAGCTGTTTTTTCAATGTTCTTTTTTTTTCTCTCTTACCCTTCAATTCTTGTAGGATACATGGAACCAAAGGAGGTCTGACTCTCATACTGTCAAGATAACGAGATAGTTCTTTTAAGAATCCATCTGCTTTCGATACCACTTATACTCATTGTAACAACTCTCCCGAACAACAATGCTCTCAGCCTTTCTACAAGACCAAAACGTAGAAAGCTTACTTACACTGTTTGTTACAACATATCTATCTTTGTGAGCAATCCTTTTCGAGGATGGTGGACATAAAAAACAAAAAAACAGGAACAGACTTTGTTGTGAAAATGATCCAAGCATTGCGCTTGCCAAGGTGAAGATGAGCATTCTTAAACTCTCTTGGCCCTTTTCCACCGCGCTTGTGCTTGTGCTAGTGCTAGTTTCAGGCTAGTGCCCAGGTTAGCACCAGCCCCTTCTTATTTCACCACCGAAATTGGCTCTAACACTGGTGCTTGAAACTGGTGCTTAAGCTGGCTACAATTATTTGTTGGGCTAGACTGGCTGGGGTTATCATGACGATGGCAAATGTAGAGGAATGACTCTCTTCGGATGTCATATGTACCTATGTTTAGAATTAGAAATAAACCCAGACATTTTATTTTTCCAAAAACAAAGGATTCTGGGAATTGCGCGTATGAAACGTGGTGAACCACTGATTTAGGAACTTTAGCGAACCCAACGTGCGTATTTTTTGGAACATGGGAGGAACGTGTGCAAAAAACACAGGAAGACCAGCGCACGGATTCAAATCCACAACCGTGAACTGTGTGAGGCGGACATGCAAACCAAATGTCCACCGTGCTGCCGTTGTTTACCTTTTAAAATTAAAGTTGTGAAGCGATGGCTGAAATGTAAGAAGGGCTCACCTTTGCATAGCACCTCTCCATATGTCTTAGTGCAACTTTTGGATTGATAGGATGGCTGCAGGACACACAAAAAATCTGAAGGTCTGTGTCATCTCCCTCCCCTTCATTCACCTGAAATGATGCAACGTGATTGCAGACCGTGAAGGGGAAGAACAAGCTTCGTGACAACACAACCAGTAAAGACTACATGAAAAAAAGCAAGTTAACCTCCTCATCCTGCTGCACTGCCTGCTGCTTGGCCTTGGAGATGATGCCCTCCAGTTCGTGGAAGCGGCGCTCCATTTCGGTGAGGCGCAAGCGCGCGTTTTGCTGGTCCTTGCGAATGCGCTCCAATTGCTTCTTACCGTGCTCCTCGGCAATGCAGGGACTCTGCTGCCACTGCTGGATCCGCTGAGGGAGTATCTCATAGATTCGACTGTGGAGAGACGTGCACACACATTAAGACAACAAAATGAGAAGGGAATAGCGGCTACCTCAAACACAGACTATTGTGTACAATGTGTGTGTCATTTGCACTGTAACTAAGCAGAATCTTGAATCTTGACAAAGCATGTTAAGGCTTCACAATTTCAAATGAAAATGCAGCCTTGCACATTCAAATATCATCCATCCATTTTCAATAGCGCTTGTCCACAGTCTAGTCACTTGTGAGCTGGAACTGATCCCAGATGACTTTGGGCCAGAAGCTCAGTACACCTTGGACTGGTCGTCAGCCAATTGCAGGGCACATGAACATTCATACAATTACAGGGCTTAATATTAGCCCAACCACTGTGGATTTTTAGAAACCGATGCAGATTTGCGCCAGAAAAAAAAACTGATTAATCGGCTGATTAATTTTTATGATGCACAATTAATTAATGAAATGCACCCCCCAAAAAGCATTTCAATGGGTGTTAATTATATGCGGATTTTCCCTATATGTGCCCCGTTCTAGTCCCTTTCCTGCAGTGGAGGTCAATAGTAAATTTTCTGTTAAAAGAAATACATGAAAAAAACTTTCCTTTTTGGTTCCCAGAATCCACTGCATGGCATCATTTATTTAATTACGTTATAAGGACATTAATCCGAGTCATATGTGTGTTTGTTTTACCGGTAGGTGATGGTGTGTCATTTTTAATTCATTTATGTTTGACTTAACGTGGCACTGTGTTTTACATTATTATTTTTTTCAACAAACTGCTTTTTGGTTGAGTGAAAAATTGTGACATCCTGGTCAATTCCTTGCACAACCTGCATTGCTCACCTGCAAAATTCTTGTTTGATAGATAAGAGAGAGAAATATTTACTTTTTCTTAAGTTTGTGGGAGATGTGGGAGAGAGCCAGAGTCCACACGGACTCCACAAATGCTAACTGTCAATGTCGCTTTCGCGACATGACAGCTTAGGGACAGGAGAAAGTTCTTACTTGGCAGCTAGCTTCATGCCACAGTCCTCCGAGCAGTACTTGGAGTTGGCTCTTGCAGCCTGAACGCAGTTGGGCCCGAGACACTGATGGCGCCCACCGTGATCGCGGGCGTCACTCTTTTCACTGTGTCTGTTCCTGTCCTTATGCTTTTGCTTCTGCTTGTGCCGCCGAGACTCTTTCTAAAACGAACATATTTGCAGACGTCAACTTGTTGCCGCGATATCATGAGACAACTAATGTATCTTACTTTCTTGTCAAACTTCTTCTCTCGTCTCTTCACGTGTTTCACTTTTACAGCTTTCTTTCGCAAGACAGGACTGAAAGGCGGTTCATCGTCATCGTCGTCAGTTGCCCATCCCTGGTAGAAGAAAGAAAGAAAAAAAAAAAAACAAAGAAGCGTTGAGCATGCAAATTGCGAACAAAATGTTAGCCTCAATAAACCACGCCGGTCACACTATGGTTGTACTACCATGCTGCTGTGAAGCCCTGCTGCTTTGTACTGCTGGTAGAGATCTGCCTCGCTGTCATAGTCGTCAGAGTACCGCCTTCGTCTGCGGTAGTAGTTCTCTCTTCTTTCTCGTAAATACTGTTCCTCTTCTTTTACACGTAGCATTTTCTGCATAAAACAAGAAGCAATTGCTTTCACTTTTTCCAAGAGAAGCTACATTGAAAAGCTTACACAGAATTCGGCGGCACGGCTCTTTCATATTAAAGAAGGCATTTTGGCATTGTCTAATTTAGGAAAAAGAAAACATACCCTAGCTCGGACCTCGCATTGTCTAAATCTGCACTTCTGCCTTATTTTATTGGGGCCCCCGAACTTTTTCATGTCTTTGCAGAAGTCACACTGTGCACAGTCCTCAGTCCTTCTGCACGGCTCACATTCGCCACACATTCTCACTGAACGCTTCACCTGCAACATGTAGCAAAACCCAATTAGAGCTGTGGGCAGCAACGACAACACACAATCACTCAAGGTAAGAGTAGCTGGTAGCTTAGGAAGCTTTGGAACACCGTTTCAAGAATGCTTCTTCACTTGTCAACTACTCTTGGGAAACCAACAAGTACAAGCAGTTGGACGGATGTTAACATGGAACAATGTGGATAATGAGGTTGTAAACCAACAATGATGTATTCTGGCCTCTTCATTTGTATTCATTTTTCTCCCATAATCATATGCAAATTTTTACATCTGGACAATGGGAAAACTCACTTTTGATCCTCGCCGCCTTTCACTCCTGTAGTCCGGCGTACTCGGGGTACTGTACTGTCTTTCAGTTCTATCAGAGTCTGGTTCCCTTTCTCTGCTTTTCTTTTCTTTTCTGTACTTTATTTCCAGCAATGGGTTTTCATCTGGTCACAGGAAGAAGGAAAGAACAATCGCTGGTACTTTATTTAGTCACATGATGTACGCTCAGAAAGGCTCACTATCAGGATCAATCACCTCTGCATCTCATGCAGTACCACTCTCTGATTGCCTTGGCCATCTTCTCTGTTATATTGATGCAGTTTCCATGGAACCACTCATTGCAGTTATCGCAGCCACTAAGAGGAGCAAACACAGCATTTAATTCATGAGCGCCAGTCAGCAGAAAATAGGTGATGGGATGAAACAGCTGTGGTGCGCTTACATCATGAAACAATTGATGTGTGGTTTCCTGCAAATGCAATACAGTGGGGCATTCTCCCCATCCATGCTACTGCCTTCCGGTCCTGGTACAGGGTCAATATCAGACGCTTCGCTTTCCTGACAAAATACAAACAATTTGACCATATATTTCGTAATAGCGCGAGCAAAACGGACAAAAATTAGATGGGTACTATGTTGCACACAAAACAGTCTTGGTTGGCAGCGGCTTTGCCTTCTGCTAACCACCTGAAATAAGTGCTTCATCGTTTAAGACTAGAAACCATATTGATCATGGTTAACGGTCACGCTGGCCAATGATCATTGCCGAATTAAGAGAGTTGTGACCACAAGTTAACGTTCTGGTCCGTTTCCTGCTTTCGACATTAATTTGCAAATAGCGGTGGACTCTAAATTCGGCCATGTTTCTACCGAACAACGAAACACACCGAAACTAGTTTAACCTCAGGGTTATGAAATAAATATATAAACGCTGGCTAAGCCTTACCATTGTATTCGTATTGCGTGGAGGTCGTTCAAAGACGTACAGAGAACACAAACAGGGAATAACAGCGAAACTCCGAGCGCGCTAATCAACATTAGCTTAGTTCACAGCGGAACTTACACCGATTGCGTCACGTCCGTTGAATGACACTTGGCAACCAGCAAATGCACTACCGCCCCCTACAGGACTGAAGTGTGGATCAGTGAGTTACATGGAACATTAGAATATAAATGCACGTCGATTGTCTTCTTAGTACAATATATGAATTTTTGCGGATTTTTTTTCAATCACAACTTTTTCATCTTGCATTGTTCAAATAAAAAACAAACCACATTAAGACAGATAGGTGCGGCTCAGTTAATGAATGAATGGATCAAATGAGAAAGAGAGCGAAATGAAAAAAAAAAACCTTCAAGGACCACGAAAACTGAAACGGCAGGTAACGGATTTTCAATGTAACAAAGTCTTTCTACAGCCAGCAGATGGAGCCTCCTCTTTTTAAATTAAAATATAATTCGGTTCTTGGTAAGCAAATGAATCACACCTTCTCTGTAAAATCTAAACTGCTCATTCATTTGCGACGATGAAATGAAATATTAAACGCCCCTTTCGGAAACCATGCACATTACGTGATTTGCTCCAAAGAATGACAATTAATTTAGTCTGTCAGAAAACATTAAAAAAAAAAACAAATCAAGTGTTGGGTGGAGAATGAGATTATTTGACCCAAACTGTTAAATTCAATCCGGTTAAAAAAAAAGTGGAATTGTAAAATGTGTGTATGGGTTTCATTCAATCAAGCGTAGCCAGGATAGACCCGAAAGCTACGATTTGATGTAAACAGTAAAGGTTTATTATACTTGCACTATAACCTCGTCTACACATGGCCGGGCTGTTTTAAACAAAGCTAAAATGTTTTTTGTAAGGAAGCGAAGTGGACACAAACGGCGCGCGTGCACAAACGCACGCACACGCGCGTGCACGGTGCACTCTTCAACCCAAAGGAGACCGCAGATCATTCAACCAGACTTGGAGGTTGTTTGATGTCGTTACATTGTTACTTTCAGGACATTGTGGGGTCCGTGTCACAAGAGAAGAAGAGAACTGTTGAAGCTGTTTGTGTCTGCGCTTCAGAAATGATGTAAGAACAATTTGTTGGTCTTTTATTGTTGTTGTTTTTTGGGGCGGGGGGCGCGTGTGCAGTCGCTATGCAGTCCCTTCATTCCAACACAATCCGTTGAACCATTTGTCACGTTGAAAAAAAATATACTATTACGCTATTCAGCAGGTATCCATGTATTTTATCCTTATTTTCGGACTTTACTTGTTCGTCAAATATTTCGGATCGCTGTAGTGAATGTATAATCCAAGAAGAAAATTAAAATGTCAACCTATCACGTGAATCAAGTCACCTGAGAAAATGTATAATTAATGAATAGCAAAATGAAGTTCACTTACATCCTCGTGTAGCTGTCAGCATATTGAAGCAGAGCCTTCCATAAAAATGTTTCCAAAACGGATATTAATAATAGATTAACTTTTCTGCTTTTTTTCCATGATGTTCACTCAATAACACTGATGAAGTCAATGCAGTGTATGCAAGGGATCGATTTTCAGTCAAGCGGGTCATAATAATTTGCAAAGGAAGGGAAAAAAGGGTAGGTGATGGTGTGTCATTTTTAATTCATTTATGTTTGACTTAACGTGGCACTGTGTTTTACATTATTATTTTTTTCAACAAACTGCTTTTTGGTTGAGTGAAAAATTGTGACATCCTGGTCAATTCCTTGCACAACCTGCATTGCTCACCTGCAAAATTCTTGTTTGATAGATAAGAGAGAGAAATATTTACTTTTTCTTAAGTTTGTGGGAGATGTGGGAGAGAGCCAGAGTCCACACGGACTCCACAAATGCTAACTGTCAATGTCGCTTTCGCGACATGACAGCTTAGGGACAGGAGAAAGTTCTTACTTGGCAGCTAGCTTCATGCCACAGTCCTCCGAGCAGTACTTGGAGTTGGCTCTTGCAGCCTGAACGCAGTTGGGCCCGAGACACTGATGGCGCCCACCGTGATCGCGGGCGTCACTCTTTTCACTGTGTCTGTTCCTGTCCTTATGCTTTTGCTTCTGCTTGTGCCGCCGAGACTCTTTCTAAAACGAACATATTTGCAGACGTCAACTTGTTGCCGCGATATCATGAGACAACTAATGTATCTTACTTTCTTGTCAAACTTCTTCTCTCGTCTCTTCACGTGTTTCACTTTTACAGCTTTCTTTCGCAAGACAGGACTGAAAGGCGGTTCATCGTCATCGTCGTCAGTTGCCCATCCCTGGTAGAAGAAAGAAAGAAAAAAAAAAAAACAAAGAAGCGTTGAGCATGCAAATTGCGAACAAAATGTTAGCCTCAATAAACCACGCCGGTCACACTATGGTTGTACTACCATGCTGCTGTGAAGCCCTGCTGCTTTGTACTGCTGGTAGAGATCTGCCTCGCTGTCATAGTCGTCAGAGTACCGCCTTCGTCTGCGGTAGTAGTTCTCTCTTCTTTCTCGTAAATACTGTTCCTCTTCTTTTACACGTAGCATTTTCTGCATAAAACAAGAAGCAATTGCTTTCACTTTTTCCAAGAGAAGCTACATTGAAAAGCTTACACAGAATTCGGCGGCACGGCTCTTTCATATTAAAGAAGGCATTTTGGCATTGTCTAATTTAGGAAAAAGAAAACATACCCTAGCTCGGACCTCGCATTGTCTAAATCTGCACTTCTGCCTTATTTTATTTGGGCCCCCGAACTTTTTCATGTCTTTGCAGAAGTCACACTGTGCACAGTCCTCAGTCCTTCTGCACGGCTCACATTCGCCACACATTCTCACTGAACGCTTCACCTGCAACATGTAGCAAAACCCAATTAGAGCTGTGGGCAGCAACGACAACACACAATCACTCAAGGTAAGAGTAGCTGGTAGCTTAGGAAGCTTTGGAACACCGTTTCAAGAATGCTTCTTCACTTGTCAACTACTCTTGGGAAACCAACAAGTACAAGCAGTTGGACGGATGTTAACATGGAACAATGTGGATAATGAGGTTGTAAACCAACAATGATGTATTCTGGCCTCTTCATTTGTATTCATTTTTCTCCCATAATCATATGCAAATTTTTACATCTGGACAATGGGAAAACTCACTTTTGATCCTCGCCGCCTTTCACTCCTGTAGTCCGGCGTACTCGGGGTACTGTACTGTCTTTCAGTTCTATCAGAGTCTGGTTCCCTTTCTCTGCTTTTCTTTTCTTTTCTGTACTTTATTTCCAGCAATGGGTTTTCATCTGGTCACAGGAAGAAGGAAAGAACAATCGCTGGTACTTTATTTAGTCACATGATGTACGCTCAGAAAGGCTCACTATCAGGATCAATCACCTCTGCATCTCATGCAGTACCACTCTCTGATTGCCTTGGCCATCTTCTCTGTTATATTGATGCAGTTTCCATGGAACCACTCATTGCAGTTATCGCAGCCACTAAGAGGAGCAAACACAGCATTTAATTCATGAGCGCCAGTCAGCAGAAAATAGGTGATGGGATGAAACAGCTGTGGTGCGCTTACATCATGAAACAATTGATGTGTGGTTTCCTGCAAATGCAATACAGTGGGGCATTCTCCCCATCCATGCTACTGCCTTCCGGTCCTGGTACAGGGTCAATATCAGACGCTTCGCTTTCCTGACAAAATACAAACAATTTGACCATATATTTCGTAATAGCGCGAGCAAAACGGACAAAAATTAGATGGGTACTATGTTGCACACAAAACAGTCTTGGTTGGCAGCGGCTTTGCCTTCTGCTAACCACCTGAAATAAGTGCTTCATCGTTTAAGACTAGAAACCATATTGATCATGGTTAACGGTCACGCTGGCCAATGATCATTGCCGAATTAAGAGAGTTGTGACCACAAGTTAACGTTCTGGTCCGTTTCCTGCTTTCGACATTAATTTGCAAATAGCGGTGGACTCTAAATTCGGCCATGTTTCTACCGAACAACGAAACACACCGAAACTAGTTTAACCTCAGGGTTATGAAATAAATATATAAACGCTGGCTAAGCCTTACCATTGTATTCGTATTGCGTGGAGGTCGTTCAAAGACGTACAGAGAACACAAACAGGGAATAACAGCGAAACTCCGAGCGCGCTAATCAACATTAGCTTAGTTCACAGCGGAACTTACACCGATTGCGTCACGTCCGTTGAATGACACTTGGCAACCAGCAAATGCACTACCGCCCCCTACAGGACTGAAGTGTGGATCAGTGAGTTACATGGAACATTAGAATATAAATGCACGTCGATTGTCTTCTTAGTACAATATATGAATTTTTGCGGATTTTTTTTCAATCACAACTTTTTCATCTTGCATTGTTCAAATAAAAAACAAACCACATTAAGACAGATAGGTGCGGCTCAGTTAATGAATGAATGGATCAAATGAGAAAGAGAGCGAAATGAAAAAAAAAAACCTTCAAGGACCACGAAAACTGAAACGGCAGGTAACGGATTTTCAATGTAACAAAGTCTTTCTACAGCCAGCAGATGGAGCCTCCTCTTTTTAAATTAAAATATAATTCGGTTCTTGGTAAGCAAATGAATCACACCTTCTCTGTAAAATCTAAACTGCTCATTCATTTGCGACGATGAAATGAAATATTAAACGCCCCTTTCGGAAACCATGCACATTACGTGATTTGCTCCAAAGAATGACAATTAATTTAGTCTGTCAGAAAACATTAAAAAAAAAAACAAATCAAGTGTTGGGTGGAGAATGAGATTATTTGACCCAAACTGTTAAATTCAATCCGGTTAAAAAAAAAGTGGAATTGTAAAATGTGTGTATGGGTTTCATTCAATCAAGCGTAGCCAGGATAGACCCGAAAGCTACGATTTGATGTAAACAGTAAAGGTTTATTATACTTGCACTATAACCTCGTCTACACATGGCCGGGCTGTTTTAAACAAAGCTAAAATGTTTTTTGTAAGGAAGCGAAGTGGACACAAACGGCGCGCGTGCACAAACGCACGCACACGCGCGTGCACGGTGCACTCTTCAACCCAAAGGAGACCGCAGATCATTCAACCAGACTTGGAGGTTGTTTGATGTCGTTACATTGTTACTTTCAGGACATTGTGGGGTCCGTGTCACAAGAGAAGAAGAGAACTGTTGAAGCTGTTTGTGTCTGCGCTTCAGAAATGATGTAAGAACAATTTGTTGGTCTTTTATTGTTGTTGTTTTTTGGGGCGGGGGGCGCGTGTGCAGTCGCTATGCAGTCCCTTCATTCCAACACAATCCGTTGAACCATTTGTCACGTTGAAAAAAAATATACTATTACGCTATTCAGCAGGTATCCATGTATTTTATCCTTATTTTCGGACTTTACTTGTTCGTCAAATATTTCGGATCGCTGTAGTGAATGTATAATCCAAGAAGAAAATTAAAATGTCAACCTATCACGTGAATCAAGTCACCTGAGAAAATGTATAATTAATGAATAGCAAAATGAAGTTCACTTACATCCTCGTGTAGCTGTCAGCATATTGAAGCAGAGCCTTCCATAAAAATGTTTCCAAAACGGATATTAATAATAGATTAACTTTTCTGCTTTTTTTCCATGATGTTCACTCAATAACACTGATGAAGTCAATGCAGTGTATGCAAGGGATCGATTTTCAGTCAAGCGGGTCATAATAATTTGCAAAGGAAGGGAAAAAAGGGGGAGACTCCACACTTGAAAATCTTGAATTGAAAATGAAAATTGATGGAAATGAAATTTTTATCCAGTACAAACAATGCACGTGCTCTGAAATGTGTGCAAATTTGACATGCTTTTGTCCTATACTTCAGCTTTCGTTAATGTTCACCCCAAGAAAATGAAGCACGTGACATCTGATCATGGATGCCAAACCCAGTCCGGCAGAAGGTCTTGAAACATTGGATAATGGATGTGGAGACTCAAGCGGAGAAGAAACGAGTGATGTGGAGAGCCCGAGTGTATTGAACAGCTGTATTGCTGGTCAAACAGGTATTTTACAGCTTGAAGCTAATGAACAAAGTTCAACTTTTGCCTCAAAAGACATTCAAACTATCACAAAAATGACCTACAGGTCTATTTCTTTTTTTGTTTGGACGAGCTACTAATTATCTGACTGTGTTCTATTCAGGAGCCCAAGAATGGAACATGCAGCGATCCAATGAGAGAGCTGTCCAAGCAGGATCCACGAATGACTTGAGTTCTGCAGAGACACAGCAACCGCAGCTCCTGCCACCGGCATTGCTGCTCGCCAGCACTGAGGAGTTACTCACATCAGTCAGGAAGTGTCAAGACCTGCCACCAGATGACGATGGTAAGACCAGCCTCCTTTGAAAAGACTTGAGGAGCGCTTTCCTTCAAATGATGTTTTCACCTCCTCCTTGCCAATGTCCTTCTTGAGACCAGTGCGCTGCACTCCTGCTGGCCTGTCTGTTCTGCCATCCACTGGATTGTTTACTGGCCACAGTCAGAGGGTGTAACAAGTGGCTCTGCTCTTCACTGTTTTGCTGCGAGCCCACGACTGCGCAGAGTGTCCTGAATGTCGCTCGACAGTGTAATGTATGCGGTGGTCAAGAAAGGTGCTGTGGCCAATGTGACTGCAGTATCAGCGATCTGTGTCTCCAGGCGACAGAGTGCCTGGATTTAGCCATGGAAATCTCTCAAATGCTCTACCACTAACCTTGGCAGCACGCAAATAATCACATGTATACGCCTGAAAGAAGAGTTTATTTGTTGAAATTTGCAGAAAGAGATTTCTTTGAGCATGACCAAAAAAAAAAAAAAAATGTACATTTGACAAGGGACATACAATGTTCATACATTTGTGAAAGGTTGGATGTGCTTCAAGTTTTGCAAAGCAGTTATGTCGGAGCAGGAAAAAAAATTGGTGCTTGATTTTAGAACTGCACAATCAGGGGCATTAAAACAAGCTAATTAAGAGTTTTTTTTTCCTTTGCCTCAGAGCACTTGCAGATAGAGGACAACCAATTACATTAGTCAACGTGCCTTCAAAACTAATTGGGCTGCTTCAGTTCATGTGTGACTGTAACACCAAGAAAACTACGAATCCAAACGCACAACTTTTAAAATTATATTCTCAAATACCGTGACATCAGTGTTGGAAAAACATGCATAGGTACACATTCATTAAATGAGTTGCATGATGCATTTGATGAATTAAATGCCTTTTTGAAGTTTATCAGTACTTCATGGTACACCTGCAAAATAGTGGTTTGTTCCAAAAAAAAAAAATAATAATAATTGTACTTGGAACACAATGAATTTATAGCTCATTGGACATACTGTATGTGCCTCCAGAAGAAAAAAAAAACTGGAAAAAAATCTCTGGTAAAAATCAGCCAGTGATCACCAAAGGTTATTGGAGATGACCAATCACAAACACAAATATTAGTCACAAGAAACAAACAACACTTCAATCAATTATCCAGGTATCAAAAATAGGATGAACTACAGTACGTACTGTAAAATAATCAAACGGATCTCTCGGTTTTATTGTGAAGCGGAACATATTGAAAAATAGAACAGTGATTTGTGTTTTGCACTGCAGCTACACTTAAGAAGTCCTGCTTTGGCTAATTAGCAGCAGCAACAGGAGCAGCTCTTAAGCTGCTCATAAAAACATGTGCGCCCACCGTGTGTCGTCGTAGTAAAACAGATCTCTCAGAAAAATGCATAGACTGCAAGAACATAAGGTGCAATAAATTGCTGGAAAATAAAATATTCTTATATACACCATGAGGGGGAAAAAACTATTTCACAATGTACCAATTCACTTTAAGTACATTAAGCATATCCCTTTTGTGCCCCCCCA